CCTATCGGATATCACAACCACATCAGGTTCATCCGGTATTACTTCGCTCAATCTATTCATAAACCACCTCCATGAAGCGTCTTTCTCTCTATCGATCACACCCTATGCTAAAGGATATTGGTGATGTTCTCCATCCTGCGCGGTTGCCACGACCAATGCTCCCTTGTATTCGCTTGTCAAAAATGTCGCATCAACAGCAACAACTTTACGCATATACTTCCATCCTTTTATAGTTGCACTTAACGCGATAAATAGGTACTTGAAGCTTTTCTGATCATTGTCCAACTCAAGTCGCACTATGGATCCAGGATTTCTTTCTCTCAGCATGTACATCCACCCAGGAAGCCTCATGTAATGATCGACATGATTACCGCGAATCTCTTTTTCAGCACTGTGCTTCCCTCTCAATGCCATCAAATACGAAACAGTTTCCCCGTACTTGGTTTTTATTTGTCGTACTAATTCTGGGGCATTAGGAGTTTCGAGGATCACAGCATATTCTTCCTTCAAATAATCTCTAACTAAATTCGATGTACCTTTCATAGCTTCTTCTGAAACAGGTCTGCATCTGTGAATTGGATTGTGTGTTCTTACGCTAAAACGATTCGAACTCGGGATCGATGCGATGCGCAATTTCCAGTTACAACCTGATCCAGCAAACTTGCATCTTATCTCCCACAACTTCTTGTCAGACTTCACTGTAACATAGCTGAAACAAGCCTTAACTGAACCCTTTCGTATATATTCTTGCGCTTCTTGCTTATTATTAAACTCATACCCAATATCTATGTTCAATCCATCCGTAAATTCGAATACTGAAGTACAAAACAATGAGTCCTCCACAACTACCATGGCCATATCAGACGTGCTTTCAGCTTGCATAGTCGTTGCACACTCCATTACAACCTTCTCATTTCCATCAAGTCCAGTTTCACGGTCCACTAAATCTGTACCAATCTCATTTCGATCAACTACAGTATCGGCGAGAATATCATTTACAGAGTCCACTACATCTGTCGCATTTCCATTCACTTCAACTGCTGCTGCTTCTCCAATACATAAACTATTACTCCCAACTTTACTCTTGAAATTTGGACTCTGGATAACATCGCAATCCTTATAACCTACACATATTATACCTCCATATGGTCCAACACAACTCGCTAAATCAGGAATTCTAAACTCATTTTCTGACCTCGCCTTTTCTATCTCCACGTGAAGCATGCTTCTGCCTCCATTCATTTTGTCTAGAAGATAAATTAAAACTTGTTTATCATTCGATATGTAAATCGGCTCAGTACCTCCTTTTAAAGCTGGCAAATAGCTCAGCTTCATGTCTGTTTTACTTTGGTCAGCCTCCATTTCAGAATATAACTCTTCAACAAGACGTTTGTATTTCAATTCAGTTGGAGGACACATGAATATGACTCCCTTCCCATCCTTAACTTTTCCAACCCATTCGTATTCCCTATTACCATTCAATACCCACTTTCCATCAGACTTGAAATAAATAATTGTGATTTTCTCGTCGACTGCATCCATTATGCCTGTATAGAATAAATAAGATTCGTAAGATACATGTGACCAAAGTGACCAAAGTGACCAATGTGACCAGAGTGACCAGAGTGACCAGAGTGACCAGAGTGACCATAGTGACCAAAGTGACCAGTGTGACCAGAGTGACCAAAGTGACCAGAGTGACCAAAGTGACCAGTGTGACCAAAGTGACCAACATGACCAGTGTGACCAACGTGACCAGTGTGACCAGAGTGACCAACGTGACCAGTGTGACCAGAGTGACCAACGTGACCAGTGTGACCAACGTGACCAGTGTGACCAACGTGACCAACGTGACCAACGTGACCAGTCAATACCGGTCTTAGTGATATATATAAGAAAAATGAGGTCATATCTATACACATGTTAGGTCGAATTAAACCGAAAATAAATACTGGGTTGTGCGATGACAACTTGCCTTTTTCCTAGATCTATACAGATCTCACTGAAATGCTGTGATTTGAGGCGATTTTGATGGTAGAATCGGTGAGATTTCGCCGGTAGATTCGACGGTAGATTCTGATTTTTTTCGGCGACAATTTATGGGGAGAGAAACGAGAAGAGAGAGAAACGCGAGGCAAATCGAAGGATTTTGCCGGTAGATTAGCTGTGATTTCGCCGGTAATTTCTGGGTTTTTTTCGGCGGGAATTTATCGCGAGAGAAGGTGGGAAACTGCGTGAGGAGAGAGAAACAAGAAGAGAGAGAAACGCAAATCGAGAGATTAAAAAAAGGTGTCGAGGGTATTATGGAGAGAGCAATTTTATAAAGGTATTGTCTGAAGATATTTTTTTTTTCCGCCAAGTGAGGGTATGCCATGAAGTTAATGTAGCAAAATAAAGGCATTTTTTATAATGCCCCCATTGAAAAGGGGTTTTATCAAAAATACCCCTATTATGCTACAAAGACTTCAAGGCATACCCCTGCAAAAATAAAAAAAAAAGTTAGTTCAAAACATACCCTTATAATTATGTTATTCCCATAATACCCATTGGCGTGGGTCCCAATGACAGAAACAGAAGAGAGAGAGAACAGTTTTCGGTTCCCTATGAAAAAATTTAAATATTTTAAAATTTTTAAAACTCCCTCCACCACAAAAAGTTAAAATTTTCGCGTGAATTTTAAAATTTTTCGATGTGACCAGCGTGACCAGTGTGCCCAAGTGACCAGTGTGACTAGTGTGACCAGTGTGACCAAAACAAATTTTAAACGATGTGACCAGTATGACTAGTGTGACCAGTGTGACCTGTGTGACCAATGTGACTAGTGTGACCAGTGTGACCAAAATTAAATTTTAGACGGTGTAACCAATGTAACGTACCTTTGTCAATTTGTTCCATTATTGTCCAAACATTTATTTGGCATTAAATATACGCCTCTTGCATATTCTTCGACAGATTTGCTATGCATCTATCTCATTTTCATAAAAAAAATACACGATTCACTCTAAAAATCATAAAACTCAAACCCAAAACACAAAGTTTATGCATCGAATCAATCTCTTGTATTAATGAACTTACCTTCAGTTTTTGTCATTTGTTCTGTCTTAGACCGACTCAAGAAGAAGATATGAGGTCGTCGGTGAAGATATGCTCAACGAAATAACCATTTTTCGTTTGTTTTTCTATGTATAAAAATGAAATGAGAAGAGAGAAAATGAAAGAGTTGAGAGAAATATAAGAGTAGAGAGAGAAAGTTAAGAAAGAAATGAAGAGTTATCAAAAAATGAAAATGAGAGAGATGAATTCAAAATGAAGAGAGGAATACCACGTTACTTTTTGTGAGAGGGTTAATTATGTCTTTTGTTCCTTTTATTTTTTTTTCTAAAATTTTAGGGTTTTGGAGGGTAGTCCGTGAAGTCTATGTAGCAAAGTAAGGGTATTTGTGCTATATTGCCCATTGAAAATACAAATTACTATTTCCACACAAAAGTTAATTTAATGTCATGAGAAGATATAAAAAAGGTGAGTGGAAGAAGCAAATTTACCTTTGGCGATAGCAACATTTGATGAAATCCGGTCTTCGCGTAGCAGGTACAAGCAAACCGAGTCACTGGAGAGACGACACACCGTGAAGATTGCTGCCCGAGATGGAGGAGAGACGTCGCGATGCCGGAACCCTAGCCTCGGCGGATATCGCTGGAGGTTCTCCGGCGTCGGAGCCGGCGACAAGGCGACGAGCCGGAGCTCTTAAGAGGAAGGCGAACGCCGTCGGGGCATCGAATTCCTCTTCCACGCCGTCAAAGCGGATGATGACGCGGGAGAAGGCGATGCTTGCGTCTCTTTCACCGGTCCAGAACGGTCCGCTAACTAGAGCTCGTCAGGCGCCGAGCGCCCTTGCGTCGTCGGCTACCGCAGCGGGGGTGGTGAAGCAGGAGATGGTGAACGCCGCGGAGGCGGCGGTCGGCGAGAAGCCGAAGGATGAGGAGGAATTGAACCAGGCGATCCGAGAGTGGGAGGCGTTGGAGGCTAAGATCGAGGCTGAATTTGAAGCTATTAGATCTCGCGACAGTAATGCTCACGTTGTGCCTTATCATTGTGGTTCGTGCTTCTTCTTCCTTCATTAGTTGAGACAAAACTTACTCTTTCAATTTGCGATTGTTTACCTCTTGCGTTTGCAATTTGTCGAATTTTAGAGGCATGTCAATGTGAAGGACGGAGATAATAGGTATTTAGGTTACAGTATCACATTTCTCTGTAAAGAGAAGTTTAGTTTATTAATGAATTATGGAACCCGTAGATTTGAGATTTTGGGTCTATTCTGGGAGTGGGTTTTAGCTGTTCCTCTCATTTTGAATGGTTTAGTTTTGATTGTGTGATTAGAAGATGATATTGCCTCCTGCTAATTTGTGTATTTGTTTTGAATGTTTCTTGTTTCATTTTTACTTTCTCTGGCTCTGGAAATCTTTTTCCTTTTAATTTCTCCTCATCCTTTCTTGTAATATTTTCGTCATCCATTTAGTTGATGATAGAAGAGAGATGAGATTATGAAAAATGTCTTCCTTTTGTGGTTTCTGTATCAACTTGAATGTATACCATTGTAACTGGTGATACTTAACAATTTTTTCTTCCGGTGTCTGTTTAGAACTTGGATGAGCGTCCTTATTTTTCTCTCATGTAGAAACTGTAGTTTGTAATATGGATTTCTGTACTTTATCTTCTGAAGGTTGGTTTTCATGGCAAAAGATTCATCCTCTAGAGGAGCGTTCGCTTCCCTCATTCTTTAACGGGAAGTCTGAAGGCCGTACTTCTGAGGTTTATATGGAAATACGAAATTGGATCATGAGGAAGTTTCATTCAAACCCAAACATGCAGATAGAGCTGAAAGATTTAACAGAACTTGAGGTTGGTGACTCAGATGCGAAAGAGGAGGTGCTGGAATTCTTGGATTTCTGGGGTTTGATCAATTTTCACCCATTTCTACCAGCAGAATCTGGTTCTGCTGCTGTTGATGATGACGAGGTAGAAGATAAGGATTCACTGCTTAACAGTTTATACCACTTTCAAGCAGTTGAGGCTTGCCCAGCTCCCGTTCTTAGGCCTAATCTCACGGCACAAGCTATTCCATCAGGATTGTTTCCGGAGTCGATGGTATCTGATGATTTGATGAAGCAGGAGGGTCCTGAGGTGGAATACCACTGTAACTCCTGTTCAGCTGATTGCTCTCGCAAGCGTTACCATTGCCCAAAGCAGGTAACTTTCCCTTCTACTTTATTATTTCATTGGAATGCTTGCGCCTTTATCTTTCAGTCTCTTCTATTTCAAATAATCTGAGATGGACAAGGAATGAGAAAATAAAGAGTATGACTCCATTAGCATACTCTCCTGTTTCTAGTATATATCCTGTTCGTCTATATTTTTCAGCGCCAGAGTAAATTTATATCTAATATTTGGATCTTGACAGGCTGATTTTGACTTATGTACGGAATGCTTTAACAGCGGCAAGTTTGGCTCGGACATGTCTTCTTCTGATTTTATTCTTATGGAGCCTGCTGAGGCCCCTGGTGCGGGTAGTGGGAAGTGGACTGATCAAGAGAATCTTCTTCTCCTTGAAGCCTTAGAACTCTTCAAAGAAAACTGGAATGAGATTGCAGAGCATGTTGCTACGAAAACAAAAGCTCAGTGTATGCTGCATTTTCTTCAAATGCCGATAGAGGATGCATTTCTTGATCAAATTGACGATAAAGAACCAGGCTCAAAAAAACCTGCTGATTCAGTTGCATCTAAGGATGGCAAATCTGTTGAAAAAGATGCACCTGAATCAACAGAGCGTGTTAATGACGGTGAGAGTTTGACTTCTCCTAAGGACTTTCCGCAACCAGGAGATGACAATGAAGGGAAAATTTCTCAGGAATCTTCAAAAACTGAAGATGCAAGTCAAGAGGCAAATGAAGTGAAAGTTGACCAGAACACGTCAAAACCGGACACCGTTAATGATGTAACATGTAAAGACGAGGCAGGAGAAGACATCGCTCTGAAAGCTCTTGCAGAAGCATTTGAAGATGTTGGATATCCCTTAAAGGCTGAAACTAACCTTTCCTTTGCTGATTTAGGAAATCCTGTCATGGGATTGGTAAGTTTTGTAGTAATACAAAGATGTTAGGCAACAACAGAGGAATGAGCTAATGTGATATCGTGAGATCTTCATTTTGTAGTAATGCTTCCCCTTTTGATTGTTCGAGACTCTTTTCTGTAGGCAGCCTTTCTGGTGAGATTGACGGAATCTGATGTTGCTACGGCTTCGGTCCGTGCTTCCCTAAAGTATGCTGATAGTAGTTCTCCTGGGTTGTGGCTTGCTACAAATAATTGCTTTTTTCTCGAAGATCCACCAGACAACAAGAAAGACTCAACTGGTTTTGAAAGGTATGCAAAATTATTCAAGTTAATTTGAATTTCTGATACATTGTCACATGTAAAATGCTCTTTGTATTCTGCTTCTCTAATGTTTTTGAAAGTTCATAGTCTTTGGTCCTCATATCTAAAACTAGTTAGACATATGCAGTGTTGATGCAGAAGTTAACCATCATAACACCCAGAAAGATGAGCAACCAGAAGAAAGAAGCCAGGAACGAAAAGACCAGTCCTTGACTGCAGATGGAGTAGAGATATCAAATACTGATCAAAGCAAAGAAACTCAGGATTCGGTCTCTGGTGAAAAGCAACCCGGTTCTCCAACTGATGAATCTTCTAGAAATCCAGATGCCCTACGAGAAAAAAGTAAGACAAGTTTGTTAGACAAATCTTCTGAAAAGGAGCTTCTGCGGGAGAAAGACTCTGAAAAGGATGTAAATAAGCTTTCTGGGGAAAGTAAAGAGCCCTGTCAAGTTACATACTCGCAATCCGATGTAGATGCTTCTCAACCCGCAAAAACGGCAACAGATGTAGAGATGGTTGATACCTTTGCTTCATCTAAGGAAACTCATGATACAACAGCTAAAGACATGCAAGACGAGGTTCAAGAGGCTAAAGAGAATACAAAGGATGTGCTTGTTGCGCCTAACACATCTAATGGACAGCAACCTGTTCGGTCAGCTTCACCATCCACAAACGGAGCAACCGGTTCTCTCTCTCTCTCTCCCTCCCTCCATTCAAATCTTGACCCTATCTTTGATGGATAGAACACATCCCACATATTTGGATTAGAAAGTCATGATACCGGTTTGTGCTTGTGCTCGTGTACGATAAATAGAACAGGGAGCTATGAAGCAGTTGATTTGCATGATGCTAGATGTCCACATCAACCTAATTACAGTTGTTTTAGAATCTTTTGTAGGATGAGTATGCTTAAATCAGTTGGAGCTACGGCAAGTAAATGAAAATGTAGAATAGGTTCTTTTTTTATAAAAAAATTTCTTAACATGTTTTGGCCACTCTGGTTCTTGTCTAAGCACTTGTTTGTTTCTGTCTAACAATGTTTCATTTTTTAGATGAAGATTCAAATAAAGAAGGCAAGAAAGAGAAGCATCTTTGTGAAGTTACTGAAGACAAAAGTAACATGGGGAAGCTAAAGCGTGCTGCCGTCTCTGCTCTCTGTGCCGCAGCAGTGAAGGCAAAGCATCTGGCGAAACAAGAAGAAGACCAAATCCGACAACTCTCTGTGTCCTTAATAGAAAAGCAGGTAAAAAAAATCCAGATTTCCTCCCGGGTCCGATTAGTTATGACATAGAAAGCTGATACGAGGGTTTATACCGTGGGCAGTTGCATAAACTGGAAATGAAGCTAACTGTCTTCAGTGAGATGGAAAACCTGACAATGAGGGTACGAGAGCAACTAGAACGATCAAGACAACGGCTATACCACGAAAGGGCACAGATAATAGCCGCACGCCTTGGTGTACCGCCCACATCGTCGTCTTCTTCAAAAGCATCGCTACCGACCAATAGAATCGCCGCAAATTTCGCCAACGTGGTTCCACGGCCTCCTCCAATAGGAATGGCCTATCCGCGTCCACCTATACCAAGACCCATGGCTACATCGGTTTTGGCTGGGAGCTCGGGTCCGCCTCCGCCTCCGGGTTCAGACAATGTTTCTTAGGTCTAAATTCGCGGAGTAGCTCCTTGTTTTAAGATCGCTTGAACTTGCTTGCTTTTATTTTTTTTGAAGGGTATCCGGATTTTGTTGTGTAGGAGATGGTGATCGAGGAGGGGATCCATCAATTCATGCTTAGTGTGTATTAAGTTTTAAGGAGTTTGTATAACCTTCAAAATTTTATTAGAAACTGTCTTTGCACAAAATTTGAATCAACGATCCAACCACTTTCTATGGATAAGGCGAAGCTTCAACACGGTGACATGCCATATATTAAATGCGTTGCAAAACATGTACGTTTTGATTTTGAGTTTCACGTTGAGCAAACTCGATAATGTAAGAAAAGAAAATTGTAAAATTACAAATATTCTATCTTTTTTCTTTCACCCAATTGTCACTTATAACGCTTAAAATATATTATATTTAATTAAAACACAATAATATTTACATTAAAAATTTTATAAAAAATTTTATTGTATATTTATACACGATAATGTAAGAAAAGAAAATTGTTAAGTTACAAATATTCTATCTTGAAACTTTTTTTTAATCAAAATATTCATTTTTTTAGAATGTTTTCAAAAAATACACTAGGAAAAATGACAAAAAGGTCTGGTAATTTCGAGTGCGCGTTGTAAGATATGACGTGGCAGTCTCTTGTTAGATCAGAGACATACCATATGTTTGATGCGGACACAGCAGATCACAGCTCTTCCTCCTCTTCTAATTTCTATTTCTAAGTTCTACCCCTCTCTGCTCTGAAACACGGGGAGAACAAAGGATCAGATCTTCGAGTGTTGCAACCGTTGTTAAAGGATACGGAGGACGAGATCTGACTGTCGTCACACCTCTTGAGAAGATCTTCTGGGATCTCTAAGATCAGACATGGCGCAACCGCTCGTGAAGAAGGACGATGATCACGACGATGAGCGTATGTTCTCCATTTCCATTTCTTTCGTCGTTTCCGATCCATTAATCCAGCTAATTTTTTGTTCTTCGCTTCGTTCATTTGATTTTTTTAGGATTTTATTTTTGAACCTCTGGTTACGAGGCGTAGATCAGTTGTTAGCTGTTAGATCCGTGCGGTTCTGGATGTAATGTTAGATTAGTGGATTGTAATTTGTAAATGGATCAGTAGATCTGGATTTGTTTGAATAGTGGTTAATTTCAGGTTTTCTGACATCCGATTTCTGTCGTTAATGTTATTGATTCATTGCTCGGTTGTTTTAACATTTTTTTATCCGGAAGCATGGTGCTGCTGAATGTTCTCTGATGATAATTACCGAAATTGTTACCTTTGTTCGATCTAACCACTCTAGATCCAGTGAGAATGGTAGTCTGAATTATTTTTTCCCCCTTTTCAAATCGTAGTTCGTTGTGCTTATTTTGTTTTCTGATATCCGTGGTTTAGTGGAATACTCTCCGTTTATGGGAATTGAAAAGGGAGCAGTACTTCAAGAAGCAAGAGTCTTTAATGACCCTCAGCTTGATCCTAGAAGATGCTCCCAGGTATTTGTTGTACTTTACTGCCTTGAGGCTTTCTGTGAGATCTTATCTCCTGAATGGAGTCTCTTAAATATTTGGTGCAATTTACAGGTCATCACGAAACTTCTTTATCTGCTTAACCAGGGGGAGACTTTCACGAAGGTCTGTTTTTGTTACTTTATATGAATTTGAAACTGTTCAACTGAAAAAGGAGATAATGCCTTTTGGAACATTTGATTTGAAATTTATTATCTTCAAGTGATCATGTGTTTCATTCACATCACCAACATTGCGGTGTGAGTACACTGTATTCCTGAAATTACCTGGTTTCCTGATTTTTCTTTTTGGTTCATCTGCAGATTGAAGCCACTGAAGTTTTCTTTGCAGTGACTAAGCTTTTCCAATCAAAAGACACGGGTTTGAGGAGAATGGTCTATTTGATCATAAAGGAGCTATCTCCATCTTCGGATGAGGTTCGCCTTGATTTTAAAAGGAGAAAATTTTGTGGTGTATAATTGCTGATAAGTTGTTTGCCTTGCTGTAGGTTATCATTGTAACAAGCTCCCTTATGAAAGACATGAATAGCAAGATTGATATGTATCGAGCAAATGCTATCCGTGTCCTCTCCCGGATAATAGACGGAACCCTTCTCACGCAAATTGAGCGATACTTGAAACAAGCCATTGTGGATAAGAATCCTGTGGTTGCCAGTGCAGCTTTGGTTAGTGGAATTCATCTGCTCCAGGTACTTTCTTACACACCTAAAATGTTGATTGGCTGTTTCGTTGTAGTTAGTTCAGGATGGAATACTTGTATTGTTGTTTACAGACATCCCCAGAAATAGTTAAAAGATGGAGCAATGAGGTTCAGGAAGCTGTTCAATCCAGAGCTGCCCTTGTTCAGTTTCACTCCCTGGCTTTGCTTCATCAGGTATGATACTCTTAGCCCTTGTATATATATTGCTCTGGAGGTAAATTATTTTGTGCTTTCTAATCTGTATGATTTAACCAAACAGTGTATTGACTCTTGAGAAGAAAGGTCATTTAAGTAGCATGATTCGAAGCATTTTTATTTATAGGATGAGTTAAGGCGATTTTATATTTTACCTGGAATGTTGTCACTGCCTTCTAACTTTCCATGTACATGTCTATGTGGAGACATGAACACGTTTTATTTCATGCTTACACTTTTTGTTCACGGGCCCATGCCATTGATAGAGATAAAAATTCTGGGGCCCTTTGTCTGTCACTCTGGTCTACGCTGTGTTCAAAAGTCGCCTGGCCAGTGGCCATTTGGCTGAGCCTAGAATTTTTCACTATCTATCTGGTTGCGGTGGAAATATTTGGCTAACTTGTAGGGTATAGTGAAGGATGCACGAGTAATGTAGAAATCTTTGAACGTAACAGCTTACAGCCATTCACAATTGTGATTGTCAATTTCAGATACGTCAGAATGATAGATTAGCTGTCAGCAAGTTGGTTGCCAGTTTGACCAGGGGATCTGTTCGGTCTCCCTTGGCCCAGTGTCTCTTGATACGTTATACCAGTCAGGTATGTCTGGCACTATCATTTGATCATCTAACATCTAGCTTAAAGCATATATGTGATCCAACTTTAGTTTTTATTGTTCAGGTTATTCGGGACATGTCCAACCACAATCAGTCTGGGGACCGGCCATTCTATGATTTTCTTGAGAGTTGTCTGCGCCATAAATCCGAAATGGTGATCCTTGAGGCTGCCAGAGCAGTCACTGAGCTCGATGGTGTGACAAGCCGAGAATTGACTCCTGCCATCACTGTGCTCCAGCTCTTTTTGAGTTCTCCTAAACCAGTTTTGAGATTTGCTGCTGTCAGGACTCTGAACAAGGTTTGTGTTGTGTTTTTCTTAAGGTATTCTTTGATCAAACATCTCCACAGAAAAGCTTAGAGAGGGGAATTTGTCAACTTTTCTCATCACATTTCTACCAACACTGAAAGGCCATTACGTGTTTATCTAAATATCTTTATCATTCTCCATGGTTAAGAATAAAGAAATACTTGCACTTTATACTGACTGTGAGTTTGAATCACACAGGTTGCAATGACTCATCCCATGGCTGTTACCAACTGCAACATCGACATGGAGAGTTTGATTTCGGATCAAAATAGAAGTATTGCTACACTCGCTATCACCACACTCCTGAAAACAGGGAATGAATCAAGTGTGGAACGCTTGATGAAGCAAATAACCAATTTTATGTCAGATATCGCTGATGAGTTCAAAATTGTAGTTGTGGAAGCCATAAGATCGTTGTGTGTGAAATTTCCATTGAAGTACAGATCCCTGTAAGTGAAATTTTAGTTGTTGTTCTTAACTTTTTTCTCTTGTGTTGGCATTCTTTCCTAATGTCTTTGAGGTCTTACGTATTGAATTTCTCTAATGTCATCATGAGGCTTATGAGAAATCTGTGTAATCGTTTTTGTAGGATGAACTTTTTAAGCAACATTCTTAGGGAAGAAGGTGGATTTGAGTATAAAAGGGCAATTGTAGACTCTATAGTAATCATCATCAGAGAAATCCCAGATGCAAAGGAAGGTGGACTACTTCATCTTTGTGAGTTCATTGAAGATTGTGAATTCACATATCTTTCAACACAGGTAAATTCTTTTCTGCATGTATAACCTGGGATCCCAGTTGAAAATTGCTTATGTTTTGTATCTTAGTTTCAAAATCTGCTTATTTGGCACAGATTCTTCATTTCTTGGGAATGGAAGGGCCTAATACCTCAGATCCAAGCAAATATATACGATATATTTATAACCGTGTGCATCTGGAGAATGCAACTGTCCGAGCTGCTGCTGTTAGCACGCTCGCCAAGTTTGGGTTTGCAGTTGAATCTTTGAAGGTATAGTCAATTTATTCCTTATCTTTAATGATTCCTCTCCTTTTTATTCGTCTTTCTTAATTTGTGTTAGATTGGGATAAAAATTATCAATGAATGCTTTGCAGCCCCGTATCACTGTTTTATTGAAGCGGTGTATCTATGACAGCGATGACGAGGTATGCTCCTATTCTGTGTAGTTCAGAAACATCAGCTTCTAGTCATTGACTGCATCACTGTGCCTGTGTATGTTCATTTCTATCACAGTTTGTGCATACTTCAGTGATTTGCATCTGTGTTTGTGTGTTTGCATTTTGTAGAAGTGTTCTCAAACCAGACGCATGCTCTTGTTGAATGAAGCTTTTTATGTGACCTTATTTTTCTCTTCAGGTTCGTGATAGGGCTACCCTCTTTTTGAGTTTACTTGCTGGCGATAGCTCGGTGGACACTGATAAAGATAGCAAGGAATTTCTATTCGGTTCTCTGGATGTCCCTCTTGTCAATCTGGAAACTAGTCTGAGGAATTATGTAAGTTCTCTCCACTTCTCTGTTTTTTTTCTTTTCCTCATATCCTCTTTAGGGCATCAGTTGTCTTACGAGTTTGATTCTGCAGGAGCCTTCTGAAGAACCTTTTGATGTCACTTCTGTGCCTAAGGAGGTAAAAACTCAGTCCCTCGCGGAGAAGAAAGCCCATGGCAAAAAGCCCACTGGTCTCGGTGCTCCACCGGCTGCACCTGCTTCTGGTTTTGATGCCTATGAAAGACTTCTCTCGTCTATCCCAGAGTTTGCAGGCTTTGGCAAACTTTTCAAGGTTCGATGGACTGAATTTTTTTCGTACACATTGCTTCTGCCTTGTATGATTTCACCACCTGGATTATTTTAAACATGTTTTCTTTCTTCCTTTTCAGTCTTCGTCACCTGTGGAGCTCACGGAATCAGAAACAGAATATGCAGTCAATGTTGTTAAGCATATCTTTGACAGCCACGTCGTGTTTCAGTACAACTGCACAAATACAATTCCAGAGCAATTATTGGAGAGGGTAATTGAACATGTTAATAGAACATAATCGACCAGTTATGATCTACTTGTAAGTCCTTCCTTCTGACAATACTATTTCGTTACCATGTTTTGTAGGTCACTGTCGTGGTAGATGCTTCAGAAGCAGAGGAATTCTCCGAAGTAGCTTCCAAGCCGCTGAACTCACTCCCTTATGATTCACCTGGCCAGGCCTTTGTGGCGTTTGAGAAGCCCGCAGGGGTCCCTGCTGTTGGAAAGTTCTCGAACACTCTGGCTTTCGTTGTCAAGGAGGTAAAGCCATATATAGATATATATTCATATATATATATATATATCATTTGATCAGTTGTTTTACACATGTTAACATGGTTTGAACACAGGTTGACCCGAGCACAGGTGAGGCAGAGGACGATGGAGTGGAAGATGAGTACCAACTGGAGGACCTCGAGGTCGTGGCAGCTGATTACATTCTGAAAGTTGGGGTATCCAATTTCAGAAACGCATGGGAGAATATGGACCCAGAAAACGAGCATGTAGATGAGTACGGACTCGGGCAGAGAGAGAGTTTAGCCGAAGCTGTAAAGGCTGTCATCGATCTTCTCGGTTTGCAGACGTGCGAGGTAAGGAACGATGAATCGTATGAAACAGTATTCGTCTGAGTTGTGGAATCATAGAGTTTGTGGTTTTGATCGGAGCGTAAGGGTTTTTGGTTTGGGTGTTTGGAAAAAATGGCAGGGAACAGAGACGGTAGCGAGCAATGCGAGGTCGCACACGTGCTTGATGTCAGGAGTGTATATAGGGAACGTGAAAGTGGTAGTGAGGGCACAGTTTGGGATGGACAGCGAGAAGGAGATAATGATGAAACTGTCTGTTAGAGCCGACGATGCCTCCGTCAGTGAAGCCATTCACGAGATCGTCGCCAGCGGCTAAAGCCATTCATGAGCTCTCTCTCTCTCTCAAGTTTCCTGCTATCCTTCAGATATGTTTTGGAAAACAAACATGAAAACACAAGGGAAGGTGCCATAGGTGAACTCTTGGTTTAAATCCTGGCTTTTTTTGTTTAAATAGGGATTTTACGTCTCGTATTCTATTCTGTTGAGTTCTGTTTCGGATTATTTCAGTTCGGGGAAAATAACAAATTGAATGGGAATCTGTTATAGTTTTATCTCTTGTCCGGGTTTGGTCTTTAGTTCAAGCCGCCGCCCCCCCCCCCAACTAGTTGGTGTCCGGTTCTAGTGTCGTACAACCGGCATGTTCCATCATCTGAGCCGGTCCCAAATCTATACCCATCTGGAAAGAACTTGACTGTATTAACATCTCCCTCATGCCCATGAAATGTGCGGACTGCTCGGCTGGTAACACGAGTGTCCCACAAGCGGACAGTGGCATCACATGAACCAGTTATGAACGTTCTTGGGTTTGACTCACTGATCGAGACACTGAAATAGCGCAAAACCAAGATATAAAAAGACATAAGCTAACTTCATTACTATATATCCCTGATAAGTTCATAAACAAATCAAATACGACCAGTCATATAGGCTGCTTCAGAGACTCAAACGAGAAGCAAGTACCATAAGCTCCGGACTACAAGTTGATTGAGAAAGAAATGGTGCTATAAATTGGTTTAGAAAGAAACACTATTTGGAGAATGTCCTATACAAATTGGTATAGAAGATCACATATCAGTAAGGAGCAGCGTACATACCTTAGTACGTCAGCGCTATGCCCAGATTGAAATTCCCCACCAAAAACAGAAGTTTTGAGACCAGTAGTAATATCCCATAAAACACAAGTTTGATCGCCTGAACTGGTGATTAGGTGAGTATCTTCATTTGGGATATACTGACAGCAAGAAACATACCCCTTGTGACCACTAAGCATTCTTGAAACAGGTATATTCCCATCCTTGTCTGTTGTTGAATTGAGGTTGAAGATAGAGCACACACTGTCTAATCCACCGCATGCAACTGACTGACCAGTCGGAGAGAAGGCACATGCCATAACCCAAGCACAAGGGAGTTTTATGGCATGAGTTTTCTGACTCGTTAGAGCGTTCCACACAACTAACCTCCCATCTTGAGAAGCACTGACAATCCAATTCCTCTCTGGAGTCCAATCTAGCGAATATACCTGCAAATGCCCAGACATTAAATCAAGATACTCTCTCTTTGAAGTTTACAGGTTGGTACCAGTGGCCTCAATCAAGATAAACTACTAACGAGCAAAGAACAAAACCCTTTTGGCCTCAATTCCTCCAAAAACGAAACCTTTGCTGACATATTTACACTCCATACCAAATAAAGAGTAAGAGCTTACAGAAATTGGTAAGCAAGCAGTTTCAGAGAAATGCTTATCATTTTCCAGCCACAGTTTTTGGCTAAGTGTATATCCCAGGTCCTAAAACCGCTACATACTGTCATGAAATTCCCTTATCAGGAAACAAACATATCTTCTAACTAGTCTCTGCATCAAAAGAAGACCATACATGAGCTCAAACACGAACTCACCTTGCCAGTGTGACCTTGAAGAGTCCGACAGCAAACCAGATCCGTCGGTTCGAAACTCACCGGAGTCCGCTTCTGCACCGTCGAATAACCCACCACTGCCACAAGTCAATCCCCAAAAGCCCAGATAGAAGTAAGAATAAATCAAACCCAAACTCACGGATAACTTCATCCAGGACAAAACAAAAGAGGAGAGGAGACAAGAGACGAAATCCAACCATCAGTGTCGAGCAAGTGGAGACGCTTCTGTCGGAGCCGCTCACGGAGGTTGCTGACGGTCTCTAAGGCGGCAGCATGGCGATCCTTGAGTTCGGCGACCGACATTTGTCTTTGCTTCTTTGCTTTCTCCGTCTACCGGAGACAAAGATACGGATGATGATCAAGGGTGGGTAGACAAGGCTAGAGAGGAAGCTTCTCCATTTCGGATAGGTCGAGACCCTGGTTTTGGAATTCCGAAGGAAGGAGAAGATGAAGTCAGACAGATTGTTGGACGAGTCGACACACTGCCGAACTGCTGATGACTGAGACGGGAGACAGACAGAGAATTGACCGTTTCAACGTGGAGAGGAGTGGACCCCACATATTGCTTGATCTTGTCGTTCTTTCGACTGTAATAATTAACAGATTTGACTATAAAAAGCCTCGGCGACGATCTTACTCGCATCAAGCACCTGACCACCAGCCGAGCTCTAAAATCTACCGACGCATTGGGCTATAAGACCTTCGTACGCCAAAAATCGCCGGACCCGAAGCCGTGTCATCGACGCCGGAATCTCCACCACCGGATAGAGAAACCCCTCCTCCGCCTCGACCCTCGCCCCCGCGGCTTCAAGCCGCTTGATCAGTCCCTCCTCCATTATCGATTTCGTATGTAGAATATGTACCAGTTCCGGGTTGAAATCGTTTAGAATGGCATTGTTTTCTCTTCTTTTTCTTTTTTTTAGCTTTTCGGGAGATGGATTGGATTGGGAGAACAAATGAGACACGTGGCAGAAAATCCGTCCACTGGCCCGATTTTGTCCAATACTAGACCCGACCCGACCCGTTTCCCATCACATTCCGGGCCGTTCGAGCCGAGTCCGACTTCTGACTTGACTCCAATATTCCGGGCCGTTGGAGCCGAGTCCGACTTCTGACTTGACTCCAATAATTAGGGTTGGTCACGGATTGGATATCCATGATTTTTGAGATATCTGTATCCGTATCCGATCCGCACAAATATTCGATTTTGTTATTCGTATCCGATCCGTAATTTACGGATATCCGTAAATATCGCGGATATTTGCGAATATCTGTATCCGACATAAAAATTATAAAAATTAAATTCAAATTTAAATAACAATTTTAAATATAAAAGAAAATATATAAGTTATTTAATATAAATGTTATTCACAATTTTAAATTAATAATTTAAATAATTTAAATCAATACAAATATAATCATAATCTATTATATATAAATGTATTGAAAGTTCAAAATTTAAAAATTAAACATAATAAATTTTAATATTCAAAAGATTAAATATTCTAAATCTCAATATATACAAAACATTTCTTGAATATTTAAATATGTAAGTATAAAGTATTTTAAATTTTCTAGGGAATTATTTTTATATTTAATAATATTATTAATTAGTACGGATCAGATCGGATATGTCGGATAATTCGAATTTGATATCTGTATCCGACAAATATTTCAAAATAAGTATCCGTATCCGATCCATAAACTCCGGATATCCGAATTTTCGATTCGGATACGGATCGGATAACGAATCGATTCGGTTTTTTCGGATATTACGTCCACCCCTACCTGTTGAATTGTTGCATGTTTTTTTTTTCTGTGGTAATTTTTATTGAAACGAATGCTCGGGTTTTGCACCAAACCAAATTAGTGCGAGTTTTTCTTTATTTATACAATTATATATATATATATATATTGTTATTATAAGAAACTTTTTGAAATATCAATTGTTTTTAAATGCCATCAAATCAATCCAAATATATGTTGTGTTTTCCATTTATCCATACATTTTTTTAATATTCCGTTACGTGCATGTGTTTTTATCACACACACTCTAAATTATTGAGTATTAAATTATATCTGCATTCAACAAATTGGTTCCATGGTCTAGGGGTTAGACATTGGACTCTGAATCCAATAGCCCGAGTTCAAATCTCGGTGGGACCTTTCATTTCACCTATTTTTCTTTTTTTCCTTCGGTTTTTTTTTTTTTTTTTTTTTTTAAATTACCGATTTATTTTATCAAAAAAATTTGAACAAATGCCACAGTAGCTCATAAATATTGTAAGTTATCACTTTTAGGATAAATGTTTTTGAAAAATGAATCGTATGATTAAATATCCGATCGGTGGGATAAATTGGTCATCCGAAAGCTGGGTATCTGTTTATTGACAGCATCAGATTCAAATATGGGATTGACGATATGTTTACGAAATTACCAGAAATCAATCTGCAAAGTCGAAAGATGTAAAAAGGAAATTGCTTTGCATATGATGAAAAACAAATCGAATCACGTCACACGCGCATCTCTGAGACATTTTTCGTCGAGGCTGGAGAGTTCTATTCTAATATAATTTCTCTCCCAGTCCCAGGACGACCCAAATGCATAGGCTAACAGATATCGAAAAGAATCATCACAAGTGTATGTGTTTATATATTCCTCGAACTTTGTAGAATAATATTCTTCAATCTGAACGGCCACCGCTCGTAGAGGAGGAGCTCTTGCCTCCATATTTCTGTTTAAATATAAATTTAGCACTGATTAGAACAATGGGTATACGCAATCAGATGATGATATGGATGGAACTTACTTGTTTTCCTAAGCTGAATGGGATGTATTTGTACTTGATCATGTGTGTGATTTGGCGCCTCATTGTCAGGACGAAGAGAACGATCCAGTAGCAGAGTAGAATAGGCCAGAAGACGGGGACGTCGAAGAAGGAGAAGAATGTCATGGCAAATGCTATGCTGAATGCCTTTGTCATGGAGTACCTGACATCAGAGACCATGAACACAGTCATGCACATATAGTTAGTCGCTTAAGGAAATGAAACATACCCGGCTTATATAACCTTAAGAATATCCCAACATGGAACAACAAGGACTAGACAAGCCTATATCTCTCAGGTATCGTGTTTTACCAGCAGAAACCCGAATGACTCAACAGCATCCCTGAGAATACAGCATATAATTCCTGCGTACCATGCTTAATGAAACACCAAAACTCCATAGATATATACAGAAAAGACAGTTCTTTTCTACTATATTAGGATTTTGATATCATACAAATGGCCATGAGTTGTAAAATTACCAGAACTTGAACTCTGGAAGCCGGCGGATAAAGGGCTTGAACTCATCCGAACCTTTTGTGGGTAGCATGGGACCATCCGAAGCCTCAAGCTCGGGATCAACCAGTGGAGACAAGAATCCGATCAGCAGGTTCAAAATATAGATTCCCAGGGCATAGGAAATAATGTAGAACCCTTGAACATAGTACACCCTCAAACAGTATATCGCCGCTATCACAAGAGTCCCGATCCACCTATACATCGCATAAGGAGTAGTTTTGTCTAGGTAATACTGATACAGCCTCCATGCCTCATGTGCCTGCTGTTGCACAGGTGATGCCATAGAAGCAGTGTCACCTCCAACTCCCTCCATTTCCTACGAGATATCGAGAAACCTATGAACCCAAGAAGGTTGGGAAATTGTCTGAATGAACCGCAGAATTCTCCAGCAGGATCTAGAGACAAAATATATAGTTCAACCATATACAATTGCAAAACACATGATAATTTCCAATATTCATAGAAAAACTAAACACGTAAATAAACCATTGTTTTTTGTTGACAAGAAGTAGCTAACGTTACATTCAGATGCTTTGCTTGGCATTCAGCTTTTTGCGCAATAAACGACTTGCAGCAAACTTCTTCATGATCCAAGGCAAAATATTTCCATCTTAGAGAAGCTTGGACCAAACCAAGACCGACGATAGCCAAAGCAGATTCGACATTTACTCCGTATTTTGCTTCAACTTTCCCGGGAAACAAGCAGAAAAATCAGGGCTACCATACTCGAACATCAAAACTCCTAAAACCAGATCCGAAAAAAATCACAAATCCCAGGAAACCCATCGCTGAAATCCTCCTATGCATACAGTGCTCTCAAAGATACCACGCAGATACAGAACAAAGCAGCAATTAAATGATCAACACAGAAAACTAGAATCAATGAATCAAATGACAAGGAAGCGTGCCGACGAGTACAGCAAACAACGGACACCGAAACGTCGATGACCAACAAGCGAAATTAGGAGACTAGGGTTAAGGAAGAGGAGAAGCTGACCTGAGAAGAACTAGGGTTTGATCAAGCTAAGGAAATGGCGCGCGAATTTCTGAAACTGGGGGGATAATGGAAGCGTACAGATCTATCCGACGAAGAACCGACGGAGGAGGAGGAAATGAAGGGCGAGTGGCATATCTTTGGCGAATATATTTCAAAGGGGTCATTATATTTATTTAAACTTTCTACTTTGACCCTTAATTATTAAGAATTACAATTAGAGCCTTGATTGTTTTCATTTTCTGGACAGGGGAATCCAAATTCAAATTGATGTAATCACGATCGAAACAGCTTTCCAAATTTATTTTACTTTTTATAATAAATATTTACAGCAGACATATTTTAATCACATCTCATAAATAAAGATTCATAAAAAAAATTGATATATTTCGCTGATCTCGATCAAAGAACATGTCAAATTAAATTTAAATATATTAACAATTATTATTCGCAGGGGACCAATACAAAGACTTTAATTTGATTGGCGATAGGGATCGCGAGTGGGACCCAAAGGGTTCGTATGGCACAAAACGCGACCACGTCACGTGATTTTCACCCCCACACGACAAATTTTCCTTTATTATTTCTACTTCTTATTTTAAAAATTGTTGGGTTGCTATCTTTTGGATAATTTACCTTATTTTCTGAATATTATCACATGTCAAATTAAAATAATATTAAATTGAAAAGGTAAGATCAGATGAGTTCGAATACAAGGATATGTTTTTCTACTATGGAGATATCGGAATTCTTGTAAATTCCGTCAAGGCGCGATTTTTCCCCCAAAAAAAAAAGTTTTTAAGAAAACAAAAATAAAAACCTCGTCTTTTCATTTTCTTTCATCGGACTCTCTCCTTCCACGGTACTCTCTCTCTCTCTCTCTCTTGTTTGGACGGTTTTCACCGCTATGCTTCACTTTTAGCGCCGTCGACCTTCTTCCTTACTCTGGGTTTGAATGACGACCCTTTTGTGATCTTATAATCTGTTTCTTCTTGCATCGATGCGTATAAATCTTTCTACTTTTTTCATGTCATGTGTATGGAGTTAAAGGATGCGACTTTTCGGGAGGTTTTGTGGTAAATTGTTAGTTTTCCCTTGTCGTCCGAAAATTTGGCTGAAACTGGAAATCACCCAGATGATAGTTTTTCCTGCTCTGTTCTGGGTTTGATATTTTATGTTCAGCAATGTTTTGGGGTTTTCACAAGTTTTGGAAATGTGTAGAATTTGGTGAAGAAGCTTGTGGTCGTGACACTGTTTTAGATTAATGATTGTTGCAAGATGAAATTTTGATCACAAGAGGGGCCTTTGGCTCAAATCTTGGAAGTCTTGATTCTGTAGAATTGGAGATTTTGAACTCTAGACAGTTCCCGATTTGGTTTATGCGGTGGCCGTACTTAGACGTTTAATTGATTTGTTGGGTTTCTTATATGAAGTTTTCTCTGATTTTTTTTTTTTGTCAAAGTTGTCATCTTTCATGCTTGAACTTTTACTTCGTTGATTTGCAGGCATGTTTTGATTAGGGCAATCAGAAGGCTTATTCTGATTCCAAACAAGGTGCAATGTCTGAAAATGTTATGGGTTTGGACAATGATAGCAATGGAATGAGCAAGAAGCCTTTCCATGCTTATGAATCTGCTTGGTTGGGTCGTTGGACACAGACTGGTATTGAGGTGGCGCAACCGAGTCAAAGTCGTTTATCCCTTAAAGAAGATGCCAAATGTTCTAAGGAAACCTCAATGGTTAGTCCAGATATTGCAGTTGGTGATTCTGCATTTGGAAAAACAATTAGGGGTGCCGTCCATAATGAAGAGATTTTGAAAGAGAATCATGGAAGAAAACCTGACAACGAGGGCTGGGGTGTCTCACCGTTTCCTATTTTCAATGTTTCCCGGCAAAGCGAGAGTATAACAGCTGCAAGAAATGTACAAAACACACTGTGTAACAGATTTCAGGCTTACTCAAGAATGGATGCTACATTGTCTTTCCATGAAGGTGAAGGTGCAAGCTCTAAATCTATGGCCATGAGTAGGTCATTGATGCCGTCATGGATGCATTCACAGGAAGAAAATGCTTTACCATCACCCAGCCTTAAGCAGAAAGGACAATTCAGTTCAAAGCAGTATCCTAATATCTCGGTTCATGTGAAGAGTACACAAAACACACTCGACTTAATAAGACCAATGGGAATTTGCCCAATAGTTGATTCGGGTGAAGGAACTTCTGGAGAGCCTCATACTTTTTCTCAGACTACCCGGAATTTCTTCCTCACTAAGAAGACTGATCTTAATTTGCCAAAAGATGGTCGAGTATCCATGAAGCTGGAAGGAAAAATGTTTAGCGGGTTTCTTGGTTTATTGCCTAATTTAGATCTCGGTCACCAAGAACGATTGAAGCTGCAATCTTTAGAAAGCTTGAAAGATTGGGAGGAAGGGTCAACAAAGATTGATGAAATTGAAAGTTCTGCAGTTTGTGCAAGAAACGCATCATCGGCTGAGACTGATACCTTGGACATGGATAATTTCCAGAGGATTCGCCCTTCTGGTATACCACAAAAGCGTATTGAAATCTTAAGCTATTGAAGTCGTAAACTGCACGAGCTTTCTTTCTCATAGTTTTCCTGGTTTTCCTTGTTCTTGACAGGCTCCACATCTTCATTATCACCAAAGGTAATGTACAATATACCTCTGCCTCTCTTTAATCAGTAGACAAGTATGAGGAAATCATTGCTTTTTTGGGCTGTGTGGTTCAAGCAAATGCACTGTGCAACAAGTCTGATGAAGCCATCTCGCAATTAAGGCAATAATTTGTAATGCCTCCGTGTGCTTCAGTATTGGAATTCGGATTTTTTTTTACCAGTGCTTTGTTTGGAGTTGTGTTGAATTTGCCAAATATCAATGGACATGTGTTGCAGTATGTCCCATGGAGTCTGTGACTTATCTCTATGTCCATCGCCATTGTCTGTCACAGCTATTAATCGTAACTTTAACCCATTGGTCTTGAGCATTTTGCAGGGTCAAGGAAGAAAAAATCAATCGGCAGTTCAGCATGTTGAAATACCAGACATGAATCAAGAACCACCGGTGGTTCCAGTGGATAGGCGTGGAGGAGAGGCAAGCACCTCAGAGACAGAGACTCAAAGCATGAAAATGGAGCACTTTCTTTACAACAGCCTGTTGCCTAAAGAGAGCAAGCGTGTACAGTCAGACCCTGAACATTGCAGCACATGGGTCAAACGTCTGAAAACGGGTGCTTCAAATTTCAGCGGGTGTGGAACAAAGAGCATGAAGATTGAAGAAGCATCACCGGGCGAGAATATGAACGATTTCTTCCAAAGAATCGTAAAAAGTAATCTCAACAATCCCCAAACCAGAAATAAAGAACAACACTCAGCGTTACAATTCAAGAACACGAAACTGGTGGGGAAAGACATAACACTTCTGCACCCATGGATTCAAAGATTGTGCAAGAACAAAGCTGAGACATCTCATCAAACAGCAGGGCAAGAAGTTGACGGCGAACCCGAGACCTCAAAGGAAACCGTGTTGGAAGAAATCCAGAAGAAGCAATTCCCGAGCATTGCAGTAATTTCAGATACTTATCTAGAATCGTTCGAATTATCGGAGTATTGATGTCATCAACGATTGCCGTCCCCAACAATGCGTTCTATGTTTAATTTCGATTCTCGGATGAGTTATATTGAGTATCGATAGCATCATCTTGGTTGCATGTCAACCAGGATTTGAAAATCTTCGTTGAATTCCATTCCCGGTGTCTATACATGCCGGAAACCATTTTGCTATATATGCGTAGCGTTGGATTCCCTTCTTTTTTCACAGTCGTTGCTAGAAAAAGAAACAGTCGCAAAAAGGGCCTGTAACGAGCCCTTTCTTTTTTTTGAGCGGTTCTCTTATCAGCTGGAATACTCCGGATTTAAGGCAAGACCAATAACACTGTTCTTGCATGTGATTTTGGTAGGCTTTAGATGATCCTGCTCGACAATCCTATGAAGGGTGACAAGACATACAAACTGAAGGGCAGGTTCCGTTTCAATTCAAGTCTGATGCTTGTAAGAAATTTGATGGTTTCTACCTCAATACTGCTTTGGCAGTGAGAACAGACTCGGTACAATCCTAAAAGACTTCAACCACCTCCCCCACAAAATGACCATAGTACCCTCAAGCTCGTTTAATGAACACGCTCTCGTCTCGTCTCACCCAGCCTAACCATCCGGACCAAGAAGAAGGTTCCCATGTTGTTCTACTTCGAGCTCGTATTAACCAAAAGGGGTCGCAAATATACATGAACTTTGGATGTGGTCTTTATGACAATGGATCGAACACAATTCTATTAAGAAACAAGAAACGGGAAAGCAACAGCAGACTCGATTGGTACAATCATAAAAAGGCTTGAAAGAGCCCTTTCTTTTTTATTGTTCAAAGCAAGCAACACGAAAGCCTTCGAAGTCATACGCACACATATATATGTATGTATGTATCGTATGCATACGTTCACCAGCCGCAGTCATAGTAGCAAGTGCATTGGCGGAAGGGCCAGGAGCCCTCACAAGCTCCCCGTTTAGACCTGTACGTCTGCGTGCACTTGTCGTTGCAATCGCTGCAAGAGACGAAGTCCCCTAGCGAGAACTTGCATTCCCTGTGTAGAGATTTTCCTTGGACTGACAGCGAGCAGATTAAAAAAAAAACAATAGGCAAACATATGTAGTGTATTCAATAATATAACATTATATCTATATATACACACACACACATGTGTTATATGTGGATCGGAGCCATAGAAATTTCGAAAAATGGTTATTACCCGTCGTCGCGATGAAAAGGGTGACGAAAACAATGCAGATGAAAGTGTTCTTGACAAGAGTCTTAGCCATCTCTCTCTGCCTCTGCTTGGTTGAAGCGGGGGACTCTGGAATGGTATTTATAGGAGAGGGAGAAGGAGGGTTAGTACAGCATTAACGTTTTCTCTCTTGGACTTTTGTTAACAAAGAACAAATCCCGAAGAATCGTCATAACCATGTGGTCATTAAATCAAGAAAATGGATTAAGATTGGATCTATAATTCATTAACCAACGAAGATTCAACTTAAAAGATATGCCTATGTATTAGAACACCAGAGAGATGGTTCGGTTCGTACAGGCATCCTTAAAATTGTCATGTGGAGACACAGAGAATGAATCGTGCTCCACGTTATCAACATCTATTTCCGATATTCATCCTATAATTAATAATCTCAAATCTTCAGCATGATCCCTTAGAATCATTTTTTTTTTATTTGATGCATATGAGTTTTTTTTTTCTTGGAATTTTGTAGAATTATTATTAGATCAGAATTCCAGCTATTAATTGGTGATTCATAAGACAGACTGGATAGCATACTCTACCAAAAAAAAAAAAAACGTGTGACAAATGAAAGTCAAATACAAATCCACACATATTATATTGGTCGTTGTTTTGGAGCTCATGTGGAACGTTAATTAACGATTGTACTCGTTTCTCGTGATGAATTTGGGTTTATTTGATAGAATCAAAACAGACCTAACCTGTGAGAATATTCTAGAAATTTTAATAAAATCTGAAAAATATTGAGAGAATATTCTTGATTGATTTTGAAATATGCAGAAAATTTATCAAATATGATTGAGATAATATCAAAATAAAATCTAACTTGAATTTTGAAAATCAAATTGATTTTATTTTAATATTCTCTCATCTACTATGAATATGGAGTTTTGGGTTCGCTCATTAATCACATAAAAAAAACAAACATTATAGTGAAAAAAAAAAGAACATTCACATATTTGTTCATATCTCTCTCTAAGTTCGCTTGGTATTTGAAAAGTTTCTTCCAAATATGCGGTCATTGTATCCTGTGAAATCACTGTGTTCCAATAACCTCAAAGTTTTAGAGGTGGCACGGAAATCGAAATTAAAGAAACTGTGTTTCATATACTTCGACAAAATAATTTTAATTTTAATTTCAGATACTTATCTAGAATCGTTCGAATTATCGGAGTATTGATGTCATCAACGATTGCCGTCCCCAACAATGCGTTCTATGTTTAATTTCGATTCTCGGATGAGTTATATTGAGTATCGATAGCATCATCTTGGTTGCATGTCAACCAGGATTTGAAAATCTTCGTTGAATTCCATTCCCGGTGTCTATACATGCCGGAAACCATTTTGCTATATATGCGTAGCGTTGGATTCCCTTCTTTTTTCACAGTCGTTGCTAGAAAAAGAAACAGTCGCAAAAAGGGCCTGTAACGAGCCCTTTCTTTTTTTTAAAAAAAAAAATTACAAAATCCAAACACACGCACACACACAATGCAAGTTCATGAACAACATGAAAGAAAGAACCCTTTCTTTTTATTACAATAGAAAGACAGATTAACACACATTCTCACACTCATACGTTATTCATTTTTCTTGCTTAAACTGACATATATATATATGTATATATATGTAATAAGCGTATACCCATACTGGATGACGGTTTGCATATTCGTCGTTCACTTGCCACAGTCTCTGTAGCAGACGCATTCGCGAAACGGCCATAATCCCACGCAAGCGCCCCGCTTGAAATGTCTGTATGTGCAGAAGTCGTTGCATTCACTGCAAGAGGTGAATTCCGACAAGCGCGACGTGGTTTCACAGGCCAGAGACATTCCTGTGGCTCACGAAAGAAAACAGCGACGATCGGTACACTTGTTGTGTCATCGATCAAAATCAAAATTTTCTTTGGTGAAACTAATTGAGATGCACAATAAATTAAAATTTCTTCGCTTTTAACTGGTTTCTTAAAGAGGGTTTTGTGGGTCACACCCCGAGTGTTTAGAAAGGCTTATTACCGATGACAAGGGTGAAGAAAACAGCCAAGACGAAAGCATTCTTCACAAGAGTGTTAGCCATCTCTCTCTCTCTCTCTCTCTCTCTCTCTCTCTCTGCTTATGGATCTTGTTGGAGTGATCAAGTCTTACAGGGTTACCGTATTTATAGGAGTAGGATTGCATTATCTTAGTCGTTTCTCTCTCTTCGTTAGCAAATCCCCGAGAATCATGAGGATGTGTGATCATTAAGTGTAAAACGAACGATTAAGACTGGATCTAACCCCCCAAAACGCGTTATTAACACTTATTAATCACGTGCTTATTTTTTTTAATATCAGAATATCAATTAGATATATGGCTGGTGACATGCGATCCATCTGTACTATGGTACTATATAGATAAAATATTTTAGTTCGTGTACCACACGTTTAATATACATATATATATATATATCAAATCTTGGACGTGCGCAGCATGATCCTTTCCAATTTTTATACTTCAAGTAAATTGAATCATTCATCTTTTATCTCAGTAATTTTTTATAAAAAAAAAACAATCAAACTTTGGATTTATATATATATCCTTTTTTTTTTGTACAACATTTCCAAATGGTTTGTTATCGAACATTAGATAATTCCGACAATGGAAATTTTTTTCATACATGTATTACTATATGATTTGTTCTCCGAATTTATAGAATTCAGAAGTACGCCAATAAATAATGCAGTCGACAGACTGGAGATGCTTTACTAATGATATGTGCATAAAGTTTGAAATCGTAAATGCTTACATTTTTGTTAGGAAAAAAATAAAAATAAATAAGAGAATATAAAAACTGTCAAAACTTATAAAATTAATAAAATTAAGATATAATTTCAAGAAATGTTATCATTTTTTATAGAAAACATTATATTGTTTATACCCCGATAAAAAAAAATCAATAAAATACACTTTTAAAATACAGTAAAGCCGCAAAATTTCTATGACAGTCAAACAAAACACCCAGCTCTCGGTAAAAGAACACTTCACAATAATTTTCTATAAAAGTTTATTCTTGAAAACGCTTCTAATCTCGAGAATAAAAACATTTTTTATATTTTTTATGCCTTACATATAGACACCTCATTAATTTTATATCACAGTAAAATCTAAAAAAAAAAAACTTTCAAGTGAATCCCAATTTCCAAACATTATGCCGGATAACATGTGGCCAAGAAAAATCTAGTAATGAAACGCCTAGCCTGTCCATAGCCCAACGAAGGACGGTGGTGGAGTAGCTGCAGTAAAAAAAATATGATCTCGTGTTTCAGGGAGTTGGTTGCGTAACAAACACATGGGGCTAGTGATGTCAAAATGAGCCAGGCTCGCGAGCTGGCTCGCGGTTGGCTCGTTTTTTATCGAGTTGGACTGAAAAAATAAAAGACCAAATAAAAACGGGCCGAACGAGTCAGCTCGCGACGAGCCCGAGCCTATCCGGGCTAGCTCGGTCGGTTCGCCAGCCGGCTCGCGAGCTGACATTAAAAAAAAATTAAGGTTTCATACTTTAATTTCTTCACTTCTTCTGTTTATATACCAAATTAAAATTCATCATATGTTGATATTGGTGTATATTTTTTGTTATATTTTGATGTTGTTGGTGTATTACACTTTTTATGTTGATGTTGATGTATATTTTTGTTATATTTTGATGTTGTTGGTGTATGGTTTGGTTTTGTTAATTTTCCTTGATTTAGATATAGTTTTATGGATTGTTATGTTAAATATTTTATGTTATATTGTATGAATTCAAAATATTGTTATGTAGACTTTAAATGATTAATTTTTATGTAATTTTAAAAAATTTTCGAATAATTAAATAAAAACGGGCTGGCTCGCGAGCCGGCTCGGAGCTCGGATAATTTGGTCTGGGTCAGAGTTTTTCTAGCTCGTAAAAAAACGGGCCGAACGGACTGAGCAAAAAATGAGCTGGGGCGGAGCCGGTCCGGGCCGGCCCGTTTTACATCACTAATTATGCCATGCACAATCGGATAGCATCGGAAATGATGCGCAATCCAATAAAATCCAAATCATCATAATGTGATCATTAAGTATAAAAAGATTTAATAAGATTGGATCTAAAATTCGAATAGATTAATACATCTGATACCCAATAGATACAAATCAACGATATATATATATATATATATATATATATATATATATAAAACACTTGTTACATTCCACAATTCTTCAAACCTGACAAAAGCTGCGGTGAGGTAACAACAATGGCCGAAGCAAGAACTTGAACGCTACAATAGTTTGCATGAGAGAGGTTTGATACTTTAACTGTTCAACCTACCGACAATGATTGAAGGTAACAAGGAGTATGGGCCATGCAGGACGTGTGATTTCCTCCTCCACTCATCTGCTTCGATCCAGAAAGCCAATAATTACTAATGTGGAACCCCTCGTTTTCAAATATAAATTTCGATACCGTGACTTTCATTTTCGTAAACAAGCAAAGGCCGTATAGACCAGAAAGATGGCGAAGCCTATCAAATCTGCTCTTGTTTTCGCCGTCTTGCTCATCGTTCTCCTTGCAACTGGTAAGCCATGCTGTACATACAGACATACATACATTACATACATACATACATACATGTATACATGTGTATATGATTCTTTGGTTATATATATATATATATATAGAGGTGGAAAGGGCAAAGGGATCATACTGCCAAAAGGAGTTGCCCAACGACCAAGTGTCATGCTCGGAAGCAGCGGAGAAATGTTACGCGGCATGCGAATCTCTCGGATACGAGGTCGCTCAAACAAGATATCATCAACACCGCTGCCGGGGAAAGAGGAGCACCAGTTGTTCAGGAGATTGTCACACTACTCCAAGAATTAGAAGAACATGTGCAGAACAATTTTGTATCGCGAGCTAAGTACGACGAATTAAAGCAGCGACACAACTACCTCCAACTGCTAGTTGACCAAAACATAGGAAATGTCAACATCGGCGGTGCAGGAGGTAGCAGTGCAAATGATGATGCTCCCGACGATGGTGGTGAAGATGCGCCCGATGTTAATTTGAACGATTTTGATTTTCAATAAATTGTATTTTTTTTGTTTTTTATTTTTTTTAATTTTTTTTAAAAGTTAGCAACGAAATATTTCGTTGCTAATACACTTTTGCAACGCAAAAAATAGTTGCTACAAACGTTGCAAGAAACTTTGCAACGCAACGTTGCAACGCACTTTCGTTGCAAACTTAGGATTTTTATAATACGCATAACAATCGTTGCAACGCAGTTTTCGTTGCTATGCGTTAGTAGCAACGAAAATTTTGCGTTGCTAAGCGTTGCTATTAGCAACGCAAAATTTTCGTTCTAAATACGTTGCTACTACCAACGAAATTTCGTTGCTAATTTTACAACGCTATAGCAACGCAAGAAATTTCGTTGTAAGTAGCAACGAAAACGGTGCGTTGTGATTTCGTTGCTAGATTAGCAACGAAATATTTTGCGTTGCTAAGTCGTTGCTAGTTGCAACGATTAGCAACGATCTCTAGTTTGCAACGACGCGTTACCAACGCAAGAAATTTCGTTTCTTTTTCGTTGCAAAAGCCATTTTGCAACGAAATTACGCTGTTTGCAACACAAATTTTTCTTGCAAAAAAACAGTTTTTTTGTAGTGAGAACACATGTATCCTATAATAATAATAATAGTAGTAGTAGTAGTAGTAATAATAATAATAATAATAATAATAATAATAATAATAATAATAAGAATAATAATAATAATAATAATAATAATAATAATAATAATAATAATAATAATAATAATAATAATAATAATAATAATAATAATAATAATCTCAAATCTTCAGCATGATCCCTTACAATCATTTTTTTACTTCAAAATCATTAAATCATTTATTTGAAGCATATGAGTTTTTTCTTGGAATTTTGTAGAATTATTATTAGATCAGAATTCCAGCTATTAATTCATAAGACAGACTGGATAGCAGCTGGCTAAAATAACTCTACCCAAAAAAAAACGTGTGACAAATGAAAGTCTCATACAAAGGGATTTGGATATAATAAATTTTACATTTTGTTGTTATGGAATGTTAATTTGTTAATAAAGAAAAGAATTTGTGCAATGAACTGTATTCGTTTTCTTGCAAGTTTGACTTTCATTAATTAGCGTCTACAACAGTTCCTTTGAGAACGTATTACAATATATAATGCCGTTGCATGTATGTATAGGATTTGCAATTGGAGGTCACGTCGTCCTTTATATCCATAATGCGTTCTATCTTTCTCTTACAGATCTTGAATTTGGAATTCATATATATCATACATCTCTTTTACAAATCATGTTTGATTTCGATTCTCGAATGGGTTTCCCAACCACTTGATTTGAAGATCTTTGTCGAATTTTCATTCCCGATGTGTATATATATATATATGTTGAAAATCATTTTTGACATATGGAGCATTGGATTTCATTCTTTCACATTCATTGCCAAAAAGAAACAATCACAAAAGGGGCTGTACGCAGCCCTTTCTTTTTATTACAAAATCAAACACAAGCAAACAAACAAACACAAACATGGGTGCAATCATAGACAACATGAAAGAACAAATTAACACACATTCTCACGCTCATATGCTTATATATATATATATAAGCATACCCATATTGGATGATGGTTCATATATATTCAATCGTTCACTTGCCACAGCCTTTGTAGCAGACGCATTGACGAAGCGGCCATAATCCAACACAAGCGCCCCGTTTATACGCGTAGGCGTATGTGCATCTACGGTTGCAATCACTGCAAGACGTACCATCTCTGAAGTAGGTCGAGACTTCACAGGATAGAGATGCTCCTGTGGTTCATGCCAAAATAAATAAATAAATAAATAAAGGTAAAACATGATGTATGTTTCAATATTGGCGTGAGGATAACAACCAAGATAAAGTGTCACAACGAATGTAAGTAACCCTAGACATTCCCTTTGCATGTGAAGAAAAATAACATTATGCACGTGGGATCAAAACCATTGAAGACTCGAAATGCTTGTATATTACCGATGAAGAGGGTGAAGAAAACAATGAAGATGAAAGCATTCTTCCCAAGGGTATTAGCCATCTCTCTCTCTCTCTCTCTCTCTCTCTCTCTCTCTCTCTCTGCTTATGGATCTTGTTGAAGTGATCAAGTCTTACAGTGTTACGGTATTTATAGGAGTATAGGGTTACATTATCATAGCCATTTCTCTCTCTTCGTTAGCAAATCCCCAAGAATCATGAGGATGTGTGATCGTTAAGTGTAAAACAAATGATTAAGACTGGATCTAAACCCCCAAAATGCGTTAAAAACACTTATTAATCACGTGCTTAATTTTTTTAATATCAGAATATCAATTAGATATATGGTTGGCGACGTGTGATCCATCTGTACTATGGTACATTGGTACTATATAGATAAAATATTTAAGCTCGTGTACCACACGTTTAATATATTAAAGAAAAATATATATATCAAATCTTGGACGTGCGCAGCATGATCCCTTCCAATTTTTAAACTTCAAGTAAATTGAATCATTCATCATTTATCTCAGTAATTTTTTTTTAAAAAAAAATCAAACTGTGTATTTATATATAGCCTTTTTTTTCATTGTACAACATTTATAAATGGTTTATTATTTAACATTAGATAATTCCGACAATGGAAATTTTTTTCATACATGTTGAGAGTATTACTATATGATTTGTTCTCCGAATTTATAGAATTCAGAAGTTCGCCAATAAATAATGCAGTGGACAGACTGGGTATGCTTTACTAATGATGTGCATAATGTTTGAAATCGTAAATGCTTAAATTTTTGTTAGAAAAAAATAAAAATAAATAAGAGAATATAAAAACTGTCAAAACTTATAAAACATATGAATTAAGATAAAATTTTAAGAAATGTTATCATTTTTTTTAGAAAACATTATTTTGTTTATACCCCGATAAAAAAAAATCAATAACATACACTTTTAAAATACAGTAAAACCGGAAATTTTCTAATTATTCCTTTCATAACAGTATAATTTTCTATAAAAGTTTATTCTGGAAAACGCTTCTAATCTCGAGAATGAACATTTTTTTTATATTTTTTATACCTTACATATAGACACACCTCATTAATTTTATATCATAGTAAAATCTAAAAAAACAACTTTCAAGTGAATCCCAATTTCCAAACATTATGCCATGCACAATCGGATAGCATCGGAAATGATGTACAATCCAATAAAATCCAAATCATCATAATGTGATCATTAATTATAAAAAGATTTAATAAGATTGGATCTAAAATTCGAATAGATGAATACATCTACAACCCAATAAATTCAAATCAACTATATCTATATATATATTCATGAAATCTATATAAACACTTGTTACATTCCACAATTCTTCAAACCTAACAAAAGCTACGGTGAGGTGACAACAATGGCCGAAGCAAGAACTTGAACGCTACAATAGTTTGCATGAGAGAGGTTTAATTTGATACTTTAACTGTTCAACCTATAATACTAACAAAAGGAAGCTTGACTTTATTAATCAATATTAGAGTATTTATACAAATGTGATAATCCTAATTATGTATACATGATATTACATATATACCCTCTTATACGCCCCCTCAAGATGGATCACCGGAGGTGACTCCAATCTTGACACAAAGATCATGAAATTGAGAACCGGATAAGGGTTTCGTGAGAACATCTGCAAGCTGATCAGAGGCCGAAATGTGTGTCACTCGAAGATCTCCCGACTCAACAAGACCACGAACAAAAAAATAGTCAAGAGCAATGTGCTTCATGCGGGAATGAAACACCGGATTCGCAGTTAGATAAGTGGCTCCAATATTATCACAGTAGATGACCGGTGTCAAGGAGGATGAGAAACCAAGTTCCGAGAGAAGCGAGGCAAGCCAACGAACCTCGGCAGCTGTCGAAGCAACGGACCGATATTCTGCCTCAGTAGAGGACCGAGATAATCCCTTTTGTTTCTTCGAAGACCAGGAGATTGGATGGCTGCCAAGATATACAATGTAAGCACCGGTCGATTTGAAGTCAAACTTGTCACCCGCCCAATCGGCATCATAGAAGGCATGAAGCATGGAGTAGTTCGAGGCCGAGAAGAAGATACCAAGATCGCGAGTGCCAACAAGATAGCGGAGAAGGCGCTTAACAGCTTGCCAGTGTTCATCAGTTGGAGAATGCATGAACTGAGAGAGCTTGTTTACGGCAAAAGAAATGTCAGGGCGAGTCAAGGATAGATACTGTAAACTACCTACCAGCGCACGGTACTCAGTAGGATTAGACAGAGGAGATCCAGAGACAACAGTGAGGCGAGAAGACGACACCATCGGTGAAGTGACAGGCTTGGCTTCAGCCATGTGCGCTCGACCAAGAAGATCTGATATGTACTTACGTTGAGTAAGAAGCAACCCTTTCTCCGAACGTGATGCCTCGATTCCAAGGAAATAAGAGAGGTCACCAAGATCCTTGATGGAGAAGCGGGAAGCGAGATTCGAGATGAAGGACTGGACACGTCGAGGGCAATTGCCTGTAACCACAAGATCGTCAACATAAACAAGCACACATAGTCGCACCTCAGACGTGATGAGTATAAAAAGAGATGCATCGGCCATTGAGTTCTGAAAACCACTAGATAACAGAAAATTCCGAAGCTCCGAATACCAAGCCTGAGGTGCATGTTTAAGACCGTAGATAGCCTTTTTAAGTTTGCATACAGATTGAGGAGAAGTCGCATCAACAAAACCCGGAGGTTGAGCCATATAGACCTCTTCAGTCAGAGATCCCTGAAGAAAGACATTATTGACATCAAGTTGTCGTAAAGGCCATCCCTGAGAGACCGCAAGGCTTAGAATAACTCGAATCGTAGCTGGTTTGACAACTGGACTAAAAGTCTCGTGATAGTCGACGCCAGGACGCTGATGAAATCCCTTGGCAACTAGTCGTGCCTTGTACCGATCCACAGAACCATCAGGTTTGCGCTTAATGCAAAAAACCCACTTGCAACCCACAACATTCGAAGCCTCTGAACTCGGTACAAGATCCCAAGTGTGGTTGCGGCATAAGGCCTTGTACTCATCATCCATAGCCGCACGCCACCGAGAGTCCTTGAGAGCATGAGCTACCGTCGCCGGCTCTATATCCGAAAGAGAGGATGAAGATGTAAGGGCATACTTCTTATTCGACTTCGAAATGTTGTTCTTAGAGCGTGTGTTCATCGGATGAATATTGCAAGGAGCAGGAGCAGCATGTCCAACGTCAGGGGCAAGCGCAATGGAAGGTGATGATGATTCGGTGGGCTCCGAGACGTCGGGCAAGGCAGGTGGTGAAGGACCGGAGCTCAGGGACTGAACTGAGGATGAAGGAGTGAGTGGCGGCCTGAAACTAGACACGGGATGGACAGGAGGACCAAGACTGGAAGACGACTCGGACTCGACCATGGTTTGAGGCAAAAGGCGAGAGGGTTGTGAGAACGGGAAGATAGACTCAAAAAACTGAACATGTCGAGACACATAGACACGAGATGAGACCGGATCTAAACACAAATAAGCACTCTGAGTGAGCGAGTATCCGAGAAAGACACACGCTTTGGAGCGGGGTTCTAGTTTGTGAGATGTATACGGGCGAAGCCACGGATAACACAGACAACCAAAGACCTGAAGTTTCGCATAGTTCGGTGGAGAAGAAAAAAGACACTCAAAGGGTGATGACATGTGTAGAATTTGCGTGGGCATACGGTTGATGAGATAAACCGCGGTGGTGAATGCATAGGACCAATAAATGACGGGTAAAGACGCATGCATGAGTAAAGACAAACCCGTCTCGACAATGTGACGATGACGACGCTCAGAAATGCCGTTATGCTCGGGAGTATGTGGAGGGGTGGTAAGGTGAGAAATGCCGTGAGATGCAAGAAATGACGACAAGGCAGTAAACTCACCGCCATTATCAGAATAAAAGGAAGTAATTTTACAATTAAACCGATTTTCGACAAGGGGTTTGAACTTTTCAAAGATAGAACGAACATCAGATTTTCGTTTCAAAGGATAAAGCCAAGAATATCGTGTAAAGTGATCCACAAAGAGAACATAATATTTAAATCCATCAACCGAAAGGATAGGTGACGTCCAAACATCAGAGAAAATAATTTCAAGCGGTTTCGAGGAATGAAGAGATGAAGAAGAAAAAGAAAGTTTACGGCTTTTATTACTGTTGCAAGAATGACAAACAAACGAAGAAGACTCCCGAGACAACGACGACTCAAACTTAGACAAGACACTCTTTAAAATAGGTAAAGCAGGATGACCTAAACGGGAATGTCAGTCGGACAAAGTGGTCTTGGAGCTAGAAAAGACTTGAGGAGACACACGACTGGGAGAAACAGACGGCCACTCATACACTCCATCTTTACTTCGACCGCGAAGGATTGGCGCCCCCGTGCTGCGATCCTTCACCTGAAATTCAGACGAGAAAAATTCCACCGAAACATCATTAGCAGTACATAGCTTGTTTACTGAGATTAGATTATTACACATCCGAGGAACACAAAGAACATTATCAAGGATAACCGAACGAGATGCAGTAGGGATAGAGAGAGAACCAGTGTGGGTGATGGAGAGACCCGAACCATCACCTACAACCACATCTTCACCACCGGTATAAGGGCTGTGTAGAGATAGGTTGTACAAGTCCGTGGTAATGTGATGTGAGGCGCTGCTATCGATGAGCCATTGTTCGGCTTCATAAGGAGAATGAACAGCCGCATGAGCCTGAGGTTGCCAAGGACGAGGCGACGGTGACCAAGACTGCGAGTTCGCCGAGGAAGCAGAAGCCGCGACAAGACTGAACTGCGGACACCGGCTCGCACTATGGCCAAAAACACCGCAGGCCTGACACTTTCCCTGATATCCTCGAGGCTGTGAGAAGGAAGTGTTACCGGGATGCCAAGACTGATGACCAGAACCACGAGAAGAAGACCGTGAATCTGGACGAAACGATGCTCTCGGACCAGACCGAAACTGCGGGCGGTGGCCATGATGATGCATTGGACGAGATCTGGTGGATGTAGAGTGAGCTAAAACCGGAAAGGAGTCGACGGATACAGAAGCCGACACGAGAAGGCCTCATGATTGATGAGTTTCTCATGCAGCTCACCAAGAGGAATAGCAGTATCCCGAGCATTGACAGCATCAACAATCGGTTTGAATTCATCAGGCAACCCTTCTAAGATTGCTTCGAGAATATCTTCATGATCCATCGGTTTCCCGAGGAGAGCTAATTCATCAGCCTTGGTGGTAATAAAGCGAAAATAATCACCAACCGATTGAGATCCTTTGACACTGCGTCGCAATTGATCGCGGAGTTGAAGGAGGTGGCCTCGAGAAGCTTTGCTGTATGTGTCGGCTAGTGTGTTCCACGCTGCACGAACACATGAGGAACGAGCAATAAGCGGTTGAAGGTGGACGAAGATCGTGCCGAGGAGAGTACTGAAGAGCATGTGATCTTGTTGCTTCCAAGGAACAAAAGCGGGATTGTCTTGGCTGATCCCATCAACAAGGAGTGTGGGCGCTGGAATAATAGTTGAGTCATCAATGAAACATACGAGATTGTGAGCCTCGAGAAGACTTTTGACTTGAATGCTCCACGTGATATAATTGGAGTTGGATAATTTGGTGATGTTGCTCATGTTGACAAAGAGGAGAGGAGCGGCTGCTGTGGTTTCGTAGGATCAAAGGTCTCGACTGTCTCAGTCGGACGAGCGGCGGAGGTGGCATCGGAGGACATGGCGGCGCCGGCGACTGCAGCAAAAAGGATCAGAAAACCTTAGGGTTTGAAAAGCTCTGATACCATATAATACTAACGAAAGGAAGCTTGACTTTATTAATCAATATTAGAGTATTTATACAAATGTGATAACCCTAATTATGTGTACATGATGTTACATATATACCCTCTTACAACCTACCGACAATGATTGAAGGTAACAAGGAGTATGGGCCATGCAGGACGTGTGATTTCCTCCTCCACTCATCTGCTTCGATCCAAAAAGCCAATAATTACTAATGTGGAACCCATCGTTTTCACATATAAATTTCGACACCATGACTTTCATTTTCGTAAACAAGCAAAGGCCGCATAAAGAAAATAGTCCAGAAAGATGGCGAAGCCTATCAAATCTGCTCTTGTTTTCGCCGTCTTGCTCATCGTTCTCCTTGCAACTGGTAAGCCATGCTGTACATACAGATATACATACATACATACATTACATACATGTATACATGTGTATATGATTCTTTGGTTATATATAGAGGTGCAAAGGGCGAAGGGATCATACTGCCAAAAGGAGTTGCCCAGCGACCAAGTGTCGTGCTCGGAAGCAGCGGAGAAATGTTACGCGGCGTGCGAATCTCTCGGATACGAGGATGGGGCCTGTTTGCCGGTCCATACCTCTGGCGAGACATGCGTCTGCATAAGCGGAGCTTGTCCGAGCAAGAGCATTATATGAGACAAAAAAAATACTCTAAGCTATATATATGTATGTATGCGTGTGTGTCTCTGTAGTTTGGTTATATAAACTCGAAATAAATAACGAGGAAGATGAATCGGCTGATGTTCTCTTCTCTGTCTATGGATATTGTGTTATGTATTTGGCAATGTATATGTCTTTACATGGTGATGGTGTTGAATTTCATAATTAGTATTATAACATTTGATGGAGCATTAAATTTTGTACCCATCTCTTAATCCTTTTTGGTAATGTTATATATCAGAGAGTGTTTACAAAAAAAAAAACACATTAAATATTATATGAGACAAAAGCATTTCTCTCTACGATTTAACATCCAAGATCAATAATGTGAGTTTTTTTTTTATTGGACCGACATTAAATAATGACGTTGATCATCTGCTATTTCATTCGCAGACATGCCTAAACAAACACATTCGGACCGGTTATTGAGCCAAACCGGCAATAACCAGAAATCTCTAGTTGAAACGGAAGCTTTCTCGTATCTTTCAGAAACAAATGGAAAATAATAAGAATAAATATTTTTTTAAAATGTACCAAATTGAATACAAAATGCGAGTGTAAGTCGATGTGGGTAACAGCTGTCTATCCGCCGTAGTCTTATGATTTCCTCGCCCCACGTGTCCCATCAGCTTCGTCTTCAACCTCTTCGACGTAAATAATACACACATGTTTTATGTAAATACTACCGCAGAAACATATTCTATTTATTTATTTATTTATTTATTCATTCATTTGTTAATATGTTTTATTTAAATACCAACGGTGGTGGCAGATTGTGCAGACAAGTTGGCTTAAATTCCAAATTCGTTTTTTCTTTTAAAATAAGTCCCTTCCCTTTTTGCCGCTGCTTATGAAAAATATAGGAATGGAAAAAAATTTAGTTTATGGTTTATCCAAGAATATTATTGTTTGGATTTATATATAAAATTAATAAAAAATTAAATTAAATGGAATCATAATTTTATATAAAATCGACTAGATAGTTTAAAAAAAAATAAAAATCAAATCAAAATTAAACCGAAACAAAAATTTAACGAAAAATATCCATTCTAGTGAATGCCAATCACGATCCCATAAAACCAAAGTTCTTGCTTTTCTTTATTTGATTTTCCAACTTTTTATTTACAAGACAAATATTAGATCGAAATAATTGATTATTCCATGAGTTTTTAGTTTTGCTTTGATTGAATCCGTACGAGAACGACCATTACCAACTTTTGTCGATTATTTTGCCAAGATAGCTTTTTGTGTAGGTTTTAATTATGTGAAGTTATGCCACTGAGATTGTTACACGTGATAAAATATTGTCAAATTTGTCATACAATGAAATATTCTTATGATGGAAATTTGGGATAAATATACAAGTTGCTTCCATTTGTCAAGTTTTTTTTTAAAAAAATATTTTCATCCTTTTATAAATGTATTCTGTTTTCCACTGTTTTTCTTTATTTTATAAATGAGACTATTTTAAATTAAAATTCTTACAAAAAAAACAAAAGAAAATTCTCATTAATTCCAATTTTATTTTATTGCATGAAATTCCGCCTAAGTATCTCCTCCAAAGTGGAATCCCTAATGCTAAAAACAATAAATTTTTTTTGGCTGTTCGTCAAGTTGCAAGAACCCTCCTCACTCGCTTTTCTTCTATATATGCAGTCTCCCAACTAATCACAGCCTCCTCCTCTTTTTCCCTCTCCTCCTCTCCTTCCTTCTCCCCCCGATTTCCTCCATTTGCAGGGTGGAGAGTAACGTTGAGGTATCATCTCGTTTGGGTGTTTTCCCTCTTTCTCCGAAGGGGGGGGAAACGGAGAGGTGAAGAAGTTGCAGGAGAAATTGATAAAGGAGGGAGAAAAAAACACAAATCTTGATGCTGAATCTGTTGTTATTGATGTTTGAGATACATGTCTCCGATTCTCAGTGAAATCCTCCTCTCTGGGTTTATGGTAAACTCCACAATCAGGCGCAGGACTCATCTTGTTCAGTCCTTCTCCGTCGTCTTCCTCTACTGGCTCTACTATGTCTCATGATTTCTGAAGCGTTTCCCCACCATAAAACCCTAGTTATAAGTAATAAAAAAAAAAGAACTCTGAATAACTAATCAAGCGTGTTTCGAATTTCCCCTTGTTGTGTTATATCCTCAATCGTGTTTTTTCTCATCTGGGTCCTGCTTAATCCCCCTAAAAACCCATAAAAATCTCTCTTTCACCCGTTTGGATCACAAAGCGGCAAACTTTTTTTACTCTGAGTGTGCGTGATTGATGAAGTCGTCGTCATCGACGTCGTCAGATGAGAACAACGATCTGCAGGAGGTGATGGAGCAGAGGAAGCGGAAGAGGATGATATCGAACAGGGAATCAGCGAGGAGGTCGAGGATGAGGAAACAGAAACTCCTGGATGATCTGACGGCTCAGGTCGCTCAGCTGAGGAAGGAGAACCACCAGATCGTGACAAGTGTCAGCATCACAACTCAGCATTATCTCACAGTCGAGTCTGAGAACGCTGTTCTTAGAGCCCAACTCGACGAGCTCAAAAACAGATTAGATTCTCTCAACGACATCATCGCATTGGCTAACAACAACAATGGCTTCTATGGTGTGTGTTCGAACCATCTGGATCATTCGGAGGCCGATGATTTGCTCATGAACCAGATGAACATGAACATGTTCTACCTGAATCAACCTCTCATGGCCTCTGCAGATGCATTACAGTACTGACTGTCGACCAAAAGTTCTCGAATTCCCAAAATGGGCCATCAATTTTTTTTGTCGGAATTCAGACATGATGAAGAGAGAGATGGGTCTGTTTATCTTTCTTTTTTTTTTTGGTCTTTTTCAGTGATCTTTGTTTAGAGGTTAATTAGGGTTGGGGATCTTAATCAGTGTGTTGGAATAAAGGCTCTCTTGTAGTATAAATGGTATTTGTTTTCTTGGTTTTATATTTAAAGATATGTTTCGTTTCGTTTTAATTAAAATGATCATAAAATTATAATTATATATGCTGCTTGTATTTAAGAGTATATTATGGATCATAGATATTATATAAAGAGTAATAATTTGATCAACAAATATTTACTATTTATATCGTAATAACTATCAAGCTTGAATGTTCAAAGGATAATAAATATTTATTCTTTTTAGCTCGGATTCGAATCTTCATCTGGGAAAAAAACATTTATATTGGACTTTTTCGATTACCAGTAATAAATATATATTCTTTTCTAATTCGGATTCGAATCTTCATTTGAGAAAAATCATTCACGTGGGAAATGTAATCGCATAAAAAAATTTCTGAATTTACGGATTATTAAAAAAAACATGAAGTTGTGGGTTGCATCTTAATGCAAACCAACATTTTACATTTGTATATATATCGAATTATCTCAATAAGTTGTGGGAAATATTTTACATTTTACATTCAAGTTTGATACTATCAAGCTTGAATGTTCAAAGGATAATAAATATTTATTCTTTTTAGCTCGGATTCGAATCTTCATTTCGGAAAAAAACATTCATATTGGACTTTTTTTATTATCGGTAATAAATATCTATTCTTTTCTAATTCGGATTCGAATTTTCACTTGAGAAAAATCATTCACATGACATTTTCCGATCACGTGGGAGATGTAATCGGATCAAAAAAAATTTCTGAATTTACGGATTATTACAAAAAAAACTATGAAGCTGTGGGTTGCATTTTAATGCAAACCAACATTTATATTTGTATATATATCGAATTATCTCAATACGTTGCTTTCCGTCGATCTCTTAAAAAGCTAGGAATATGTCATGGAAAGGCGAAAAAAATATTTAAAAAAGAGATAAAATATAATAAATGGAACAAGAGTTGGTTAAAAAATAAATAAAAAAGAGCAACAAATTATAATCAATCTGGAACAAACGCATGTGCACGGAATAATATAATTATTACGGTTCAAAAAAGATTTTTTTAAACTCTTAAATATATTATTGTAACACATGTGGTATCAGTCAGATCTGCCTGATCAAGTCTTATTTCAAGGTTTCTGTCGGTTCATTACATTTATATACAAGAAAAGGCACATATTATTAGCATATATATAACTCGATTCACAATTCATTATTAGTTTTAATCATTTAAACTAATTCATATTAAATTAATGAAAATTAGTACTATATTATGCTCTGTGTTTTTACTAAAACAAAAACGAATATTTTTTACATATATAATATTTATTTTCCTAAAATGATCATATTTGTAACCATAAGATATATTGGGGAGAGAGAGAGAGAGGTGCATGTAGCTTTCTATTTCGTATCAGGTTTCTACCATATAGTAATTTTTTTTTTCTATTTTCTTACTCCCCCAACGACCAAAATAATTATATTTTGTATTGTTCTCATTTCTCCGGTTAAATTTCGTGTGACCATTAATTTAAATCAAGCCTGTCATCTGATTAATTTAGAGTAATTTATTTTTGTGCATAGTGATTAAGATGCTAATAACAACACGTTTTTGCACTGCAAGGCTAATTGAACGAGGCTAGGGACTAGTAAGCAACTTTATATATATATATATATATATATATATATATATTGCAAAGCACGTATGCGGTTCTTCACAATAATTATTATTATCTACATTTTCCTGTATATTTAGACTAAACAAAGCCCAAGTAATGCATTAATCAAATTTTTATTAAACAAAACTAATTAAAATTTTAAATTGAATCTAAACTGGATTTAAAAAACATAAAATTAATTTTAAAAATAAATGAAAACTAAAAAAAATGTAAACATTATTTGATCTTTACTATAGTTCCAATAGCATCAAAATTTAATATAGAATAAAATCAAATAATATTATATTTAAAAAGCTAAAAATTTTAAATTTAAGAAAATGAATCTAAAATCTCCTGAATTTACTTGTAAATTCCATTTGGACCAAAGCAAAAAACCCGAGCGCAAGAGAAAAAGCAAGCAACATAGGAAAAAAAGAGAGCAATAATTATTAAAAAAAAATTATAATGACTCGCTTCAAGTGAAGAGAGCACACATGTTTTTGTCAACTAGCGTCACATTTTCTGTTCTCTCCACACGTAACGTAAAAAGGAGCATTCAAAAGAATACAAAATTTTAAGGTTGTCAGTCTCATTTGGTGTTTGTCGCTATGTATAAGGTGTCGTCTAATTTGTAATTAGGGTTTCCGTAAGCTAATTTTGCAACCTCTATTGGCAGCATCTATTAAGCATAGTTAGGATTTGATTATCAACCTATAAAAATAGAGCGAGGTTGAGGAAATAAGAAGATTAAGCAATTAATTATCCAAATTTAAACACTGAATTATCGTCCTTTTTTACTTAGATTATGTATTCGATTCCACTAATAGAGAAAAAAGAATACGATTAATTGCGTAATTAAATACTGATTCCAGACATAGAATATTTAATTAGACTAAAAATGCAATTCACCTTCTAGTTATAAAAAAAAATTATGGTCCTTTTAAACCCGCCAAATGTTGATTTACGAGACTATGTATTGTACCCCGGTCAACATTTTTAAAACCGAATTATGTATTTTTAACCAAAATTATGTAGTTTTTTTTCTTAAACCTAATATACTCTCCGAGTTTGAAGTTATTATATAAAAATAAAAATATATTCTATAAAGAATATTTCATTTTAAGTCCGCTCTGATATAAATAATATTTTTTATGTCTTAAATGAAAGAATTCCAAAGTGGCTTTCAGACTCCTTTTCTATTATTTTATTGCATCAATTGCTACCAATAATCTCAATAAAAAGAAAAAAAGAAAAGAAAAGATGGGTTTGCATATACGTTATTTCCCCTTTAAAATGCATAAAATAAGAATATATTTTATATAATTATAAACATTGTTAATATTCTCATAATTTCGTTCTCTTATTATCTTTAATGTATATATATACACACATTCAATAACAATCTAATTTCTCCCCAATCTCGTCACATAACCGCACGGTTGGTTGGCATGGCATAGAAAATTATATAATATTCTATTTTAAATTTGTGGGATGGATACCGCTACTTTTTTTTAATATAAAGTTAGCATATATTCTGCATATATGCTTGATTCCCTAAACCCAAATTTGGGTGGCATAAAACATGCTCTCATCGTGGGTTCAAATCCAAGCGTGGGGGGCATTCACATGGACTTACCCGGTCCTCTGGGAGATGTAGTCGGGCCAAAGACCCGATGAACTTCCGCATTATAAAAAAAAAATGTTAGACAAATGTAGAGAGTATCAATGTGTAAGTGTATAGGAGGTTCGGTGTATGGTAATTTAATTTGTATTTTTTTTTTGGTAATGAATTTAATTTGCATTTCTCATTCTAGGGCTCTCCATAAAAGGACATATTTTTTAAATGGGCAGTCAAAAACCAATATGAACCTTTGTTTGCGTTTTTCACAAGTTTACGTGGATTTTTCAGATATATAGATAGATAGGGTTTAAAAAAGATTCTTTAAAAAATTAAATTTGATAAATCTTATGGCTTACATTACGACTAGAAACTAGTACACAACTTTAAATTATTTATTGTTAGGGCCTCAAACATTTTCGTATCAGAGGCCCAAAAAATATTTGAGACGACACTCGTTCCTTATCATATAAAGATAAGTGCTGTTACTTATTATTATATCAAGGACCCCCTGATTTGTAGATAAATAATGTTAAAATATCCGAAAGTTTTAACCATTCTCCAAGTAACACAGGTAATATTTTAGAGAAAAAAACACAATATGAAAAAGGCCCAAAATAAGATTATTTATATTGGATGTGAATGGTCCATTGGGCTCTTACTGGACCTTACACCTACGATGAGCCTTTTCTTGGATAAAATGTGTGTATATGAACGGCTGTGATCAGTTTTAATTTGATCGAAAGGCTCAGATATGATCTGCAGATCAACGGCTGAAAACGAGTTGATTAGAAGAACTTCTCTCTCTTGCTGGTTCTTTTGGTGTTCCGAACTCCTCCGGTTTTTTTTTAGCTTTGTTGGCAGATTTTCATTTTGAGAAAAAAAAAGGTTCTTTTTTTTTAATGATGTTTGGCATTTCGGATTAAGATTTTCACAACCCTAATGAACTTTCATTTCACATTAAAAAAAAGGATTTTTTTTTCAACAAAGGTGCACGAGATTCGATCGGGAGTCCATGGAATAGTTCTCGAAGGAAAGAAAAAAAACCAATTTCGTCATACACATACTGATTACTGACCACAGAAACCATACACAAATCCTTGCATCAACCGACCGAGATTTCAGAACTGGTTTCACTGAGGACAAGAACCCTTGCTTTGGCCATCCTCCTAGTTCAGGGCTTGACCTGTCGTGGGTTCATCTGGGTTCGTACCAAACGGTCCTTTTTTGCTGCTGACGACAACCATAGATGGTGGCGGGAGCAACCCGGCCCTGAAAAGGATGCGTTCGACTGGATCCGTTGGTTGTGCTCCTACTGATAACCAGTACCTGCATTAACCCGCAATTTTGAGGATGGAGAGAGCAATCAAAACGTCGGTTGGGTAATTGGATGCAACACCAAACATATGAGTATCAAGCTTCTTTCGAACAATTTAGCATTTTGAAGATTTTCCAAAGCTTAGCAACAGAGATCGTAACAATCCGGACAAGGAACATGAAGAGGATGCAATGTTGCTAAGAGATTAGGAAACTATATGATCAATGGCGTTTCAACATGGGTTCCTCTACATCACTCAATGATTCAGTCGACTGCCATGTCAAAGAACTTATCTCGAAGATAAACCAATATGTAGCTTCTTTCACAAAGCATGATCCTTTCAGCTTTGAAAACCGGTAAAAGGCTTCTATCAGGTCAAAAATCTAGGAGCAAAGGAGACGAAGACAATCCTAGCAATGGACTAAAATAGCATACTACTACTATACCAAAGTAATGTATTCTCAAACACAAAGAGTCCACCAAAGAATCAAACAAGCAACAATTTAGCTCAGAAAAATGCTTAAGAACTGATTGGCATCAAGACCGCAAGGATTGGCTTTCAATCCCTGGGAAAAGGAAAATGATCGAGGAACAAGAAAAGACAGTCTAAGGCGCTAAGCAAGCCATATATATACCATTCCATGCCCGATTCTATATGTTCTTCGCCTTTTCGACAACACAAAACCAACTTGTTCAAGCAACTACCCATATCACAATAACAGTTCAATTCTTCATAGTCACCATCAGATTGAACTTTCGGGGTAGTGTTCAGGGGAACCCAACCACTATTCGTGTTTCAGTAATCACCGAACAATCATGACCACAACATCTGATAGGCACCCAAATATGAACATACATACACAAAAAGGCCTGTACATGACACATATGTGGAAGAAATGAAAATCATCCAGGAGAAACTACAGAAAGATAGATTTTCAAACCATAAAATGAAACGAAAGTTCGAGAGCATACTTGACTCTGTCATATTTGAGAGACACTCTTTTGCCCTCCTCTTTACCTGGAGAGACACAGGAAAAAACCACGCAGATTCAGATATACCCAATACATCGATATACATATATATAAGTTCGCGTTCCGAGAGAGAACCTTGCAACGGATCAAAAAAACCTAAGACTTCGATTTGCTTGCCGTCTCTTCGCGATTTGCTATCAGCGGTGACAATTCGAAAGAAAGGCCGGTTCTTGCAACCGAACCGCATGAACCGGATCTTCACCGCCATTTCTGCTCTCTACTTAAGTAACGAAACAGTTAGATGGGAGAAGTTGATCGGAGCTGGTGAAGTGAGCGCGAGATTTAGGGTTTTGGCTGGGATTTTGGCTCTATGCGTATGATTGCCGAGGAAAACGGGATAAGGGAAAACAAACAATGCGTGCCGTTCTAAGGATATATAGAAGTACTACGAGACGTTTGATCTGTCTAGAAACGGTATGCCATGCGCCTCTCGATAACCGAAATTCTCCTCTTTGCGCTCGTGTTACTCTGTTGAACGAGAAAAAAAAAATCTTCTCCACGTCGCATTAATCTCAACCGTTGGATCAGAACTTGGGAAGAGAATGAGCACCATCCAACGGGCAACGTTGTTGACACAACGAAATGATCAACGGAGGAGGTGAAATGAAAGAACGTCTTGTCTTAAATAAATGCAAAGCCCACATTCGCCGTCGGATCTTCACACGATCCTAACATACATACATACATACGTACATACGTACATACACATACATACATATACATATATACATGCATATGTATGTACGTGCGTACATACACTCTTGCACTCGATACATATTGTACTTGAAATAAATTTGCTACGCTAAATAAAATTTGAACCCGAACTTAACTATAATTCCAATAAACAAAAAATAGCTCTGTTTTGCTTAATTAATTTGTTTGTTAATTGTGGGATTTAGGATTTTTGTAATTAATAAAGAAATAGTAAGTCGACCATATGTTAAATTGAAAATCTATAATTATTTAGGACATGACAGTCCATGTAGTAGCTGACGGTTTGTAATCATTGTTGAAATCCTGTTTTTTCTACTCTTTATGCATTTCAATTTCAATTAATTTATTTTGGTAAATTGGAAATGACTAAACACTTATCAGAGTTAAAAACATAATGTTTTTAATATATTACGAGGTCTCTTAAACGGCATAATAACAGACACCTATAAACCTTATATATTCAAAATTAGGGGTGGCCATTTCGGTTATTAACCGAATAACCGAATCGAACCGAACCGAATAAGAGCGGTTCGGTTCGATTCGGTTATTTGCTTAATAACCGAACGGTTGAGGAAGTTGAATAACCGTTCGGGTTCGGTTCGGTTCGGTTAATAACCGAATAACCGCGGTTAACCGAACGGTTATTGAGTTTTTTTAATATTTTAATTTTTATCCTCATTATTATTAGTATTATTTTTTTTATACTTCACTTTTAACCTTATATATTTCACCCAATAAACCATAAAATGTAATGTTTTTAATTTTTATCCTAATTATTAAAGTTTTTAGATTTTTTTATAATTTTATTTTACATGATTAATCATTTTGTGCATTTATTTAAATAGATATTTTGAAATTTATGTAGGATTAATAATTTTTTTAAAAAAATATATCATAACCGAACCGAACCGATCTAAAACCGAACCGAATAAATCGAAAAATATAACCGTTTGGTTATAATTTTATTATGCAAAAACCGAGCCGAACCGAACCGAAACCGAACTGAACCGAACCGATTAAATCTATATAACCGTTTGGGTATGATTTTTTTATAACCGAAATAACCGAATCCGAAATAACCGAACCGAAAACCGAACCGAAACCCGAAATGACCACCCCTATTCAAAATAATCCCATTCATTTTGGGTCAGCATACAACAAAACAGTAAAAAGTTTTTTAAAAAACTAAAACAAAAGTGTTGAACCATTTATACAAACCATTGAGATTAGAGTTTAAATATAATTATAAAAATAAAAACACACGATTTTTAATTACCATTCTGATTCAGATCATTTTTCACTACAAGTAATGTAATGATATTCGAGTATCATATGGCTTCTTTTTCATATTACACATAAATGAAATCGCTTCTTACTAATTATTTCCTATCTTAAACCGCTTACACACACACACACACATATATACCCATTTACTAACAAATAAAATAAAATATAATACACCTATTTAGGAGCATTAAGTACTCTTGGACGGCTTTGACTCTCTCTCTCTCTCTCTCTCTCTCTCTCTCATCACCTATGGCTTGGACTGATCAATCTCCGGCAAGTAGCGGGGGAGGCTCCGCCGTCAGGAGCAGACTGAACCCGGAGGCGGCCGTATTCATACCAAGTATCCCAGTAGAACTCACCGTCCAAAACCACTTGTACTGGCACCAGCAATACTCCCCGCCGCCGTACTACGCCACCTCACCGGCGAGGATAACTATTCAAGCCCCCGTCTCATGTATTCCACTCTACCACCACCCACATGGTAATTACTTTATAAACCCTAGACACTACGCCGCCGTACAACCACCGCCTCCGCCGCCGCAGCTCCCCCACGATCACCACATCACCACGGCGTCGGCGATGACAATCGAACCGGACCCGAGTATCCGGAGATGCTTTGCTGGGATGAGATGTGGTCGGGTTGGTGATTCCGGGCATGCCCGTGGTCGCGGTCGCGGTCGCGGTCGCGGTCGTTGGGGTACGAACCGACGAAGAACGTGGTGGAAGTCTGATGTTACGACGGTGATGATTCGTAACATACCCAATAAATATACGTACGTGCATCAAGACTTTCTTTTGTATGTTCATATTATCTTGTGTAGTTATTTCGTATCCATGCATCTTCTTTAAAGGGCGTAACCCTAGTTCGTATCTCAATGTGTACGTGTATTGTATATGTGTATATACGTTACCCTGTGATTGGTGGGTCCTCTTTTATTTCAGGCGAGAGCTTATAATTGAGTTCTTGGACAAGCATGTCCAAGAAATGAACGAGGAGGAGAAAGTGGAACTCCAAAGGTCCGGTCGGAATGAAGCGAAGGACTTCGTGTTCTCGGCATACGATTTCTTGTATCTTCCCATAGATTTCAAGTGAGTTTGATTTCCTTTCTATGTCTATGCATTTTGATTCTGATCATCTTGTCAAGTGAATATATGTATATATCGGACTCTATATATAACCTTGCAAATAAATCAAGATCTTCATCGGAACAAATGAAAAAAAAATATAGATCGGGTACGTTTGTGTCCCATGGAACCGGGGCAGTTTCGATCTATGTGAATCATTACACTATTAGTAGAGAAATAAATGCTAGCGATCTTGGAACTCGAGGTCAATGATTATGTACACAAAAGCCATATTGCCGTATTGATTGATGCTTAATTCAAAAGAAAAAGACAACAATGTCAATGAGCGTTGATTATAAAAAAAATGGAAAATTAAAATAAAATGCATGGCAGGAGTGGGATGAACAAAGGGTATGCGTTCGTGAACTTCACAAAGGCAGCATCTGTGGGGAAGTTCGTGAAGGCATGCAACCATAAGCCATGGGATCTTTTCAATTCCAAGAAAAGACTCGAAATTGCGGCTGCTAGGATCCAGGTTTTGCAGCACTCATCATTACCTCCTTTACATATATATATTCATTAGGGTATTTATATACATATATGTGTGTGTGTATATATATATATATGCATGTGGATGTGTGTGTATACACGAACGCATAAATGAAGTTGTCATGCTGAACGTTTAATGGTATATAGTTGACGAATGAGATTTTAGCCATAACTCCTAGCGTTCTTTCTCTTCTTCTGTGTCATGTGTGTATATATATATACACAAATTGTTGTGTTACAGAAATCGTACAACTTAATACGTTGAAACAAGAAAAAATAAAACGAAGTTAGGGTTTCAATTACGTGTGATAGATAGCATGACGTGTTTTGAGTGTGAGTTAAGTCTGTAGAACCAAATCAGTCAGAAGATTTTATTATTTTTTTTCCTTTTTTATTATTTAATGATTTTAGATGTTGACATGTTCGTCGTCCTCATACACTCATACACACGGACATTGATATAATTAGGGCATACAAAAGCAACATATTATAAAATGTTGTATACCCTTTTTCTCTCTAAACCATATTTAGTGTTATAACTATGTTTCGTATTTAGGGCAAAGGTGAGTTGGTCCGACATTTCGAACGAATGGCTTACCCGCTGGAAGAGTATGCCGCCGTATACTTCACTCCTCACCGAAGCGGTCCGGACGACAGTGCCAAAACCGTCATTGTCGGAAATTGCATCAGATCCCTTGATCAGCGATCCATATGACATGCATACAATATGTGTATATATGCGCGTGTGTTGCAGGTCTGAAAACTAGAATAAAGTGAAGAAGGGGAACAAGAGGGATAGAGAGAGAGCTCACACAGCGAACCAAATCTAAGATCTTGCGTTTGGGATTTGGTTTGATGTGTGGGCTTTGAGTTTTGTTCCTCGATCTGTCTCTTTGTTTCCTTGTAGTATGTGGACAGAGTTTCCGTTTGTCTGTTGCACAACGTTAACGGCGTTTAAGAACAATCCTCAACGAGGTAGGTGGTTCGTAATCATATGTTCGATGCTGTATCTTTCGCGTAATGATAAAACGCGTTTCTCAATCGGACAAACAAAATTATTCTATCCTCAAATCCTTGTGAAGTGATTGAAATTCGTCAGAAAACGGTTGTTCGGTGCATGAGGAACAAAACTACATCAATTAATCCATATTTGTAGCATTCAAGACTGTCTTTATTGGTCTAATAGAAGTGTGATTTTTTTTTTGTAACAATGAGAACTCAGCCACATTTCTTCATCAGACGTGGTGATAAATTCCGACTCTATGTAATATCATGCAAACCAAGTGAAATAGATAAATCATCCAAAAGAATACAGACTTGATGGAGAGTGAAATCGAATCTATATTCAAAACCCGAAAATATCCTAAAATTTTAATTTACATGATTTTGTAGAGTTGAAAATAGCGTGATTGTAAGAGCCCACTCATTTGTAAGTCCACATTCGTTTTTCTTCAATTTATGCTTTGTGAAATGCATATGAAAAAAATATCATTTTTATTGGGACATCGGTTGTTGACGACTGCAAAATTACGACAATTCGAACGATTCAGATAAGTATCTACAATAAAATATTATTGTCAAGATCTGTGTCATCTCTAAAGTTTTGAGGTTATTAGAGGATGGTGAACTTTCATGATACAATGATCGCGTATTCAAGAGAAGCTTTTCCGAATACCAAACGAACTCAGAGAGAGATATGAGTAGAGATGTGAATGCTTAATGTTTTTTTTGTGATATGTGAAATAATCTAACTAAGATCTCTATTTATATACTAGTGGATGAAGTATCCCATATTAATTTGTAGAATCAATCAGATTTCTATTTAATATTATTTTAATTGATACTTAACATAATCAATAGATTTTTTATATATTTTATTACGATATGATTTTGTAATTAATTAAGAATATTCTCTCATTAATCTGCAGTTTTTTCATCAAGATTTCTAGAATCTTCTATGGACCGAATTTCTTACGGACTAGATCCGTTTTGATCAAATAAACTCAAATCCAACTTTGTAAGTTAATATTTGTAAGTTAATATTTCTTATTAGTGATCAATCACCATATATATATATATATATATATTTATTATTAAGAGTAGATATAAGGATATAAAAACTTCAGGAGTTCATTTAAAATTTTCAACTTTCCACATTGTAGCTAAGATACAAGATGTTGATAATACCGCATATCAGTAACTATAAAACCAATTGAATTTATTCGCCTTGAGGTCATTATATTTACATAAATACATTTATATTTTTGAAAAATGGTACCTCTTTTTAGATTTCATTTTTGGACAAGGTTTAATAAGGTGAACGTATATGTAACATATGATTCGATAATATTTTTCCGTTGCTACCATATATATGAGCCAATGAACATATGACCACCGTGAAGGCGTGAACATAGCATGTAAACAAGAAAGGATTACATTACAATTCATTATTTTTTATAATGAAATTTAAGGTTTGATTTGGAGTTGTCAAAATTGGTATTAAAATAATATATATATAAATTAATTAATTAATTAATTAATTAAAACGCCACGGAAAACTCATGGTTACTTTAGGAACTTCTTTTCCCATATTTTTCACTATTTAAAGGTGCAACTTTTGACCGAAGTCAAATACAAACCGAATATGACAAAATTAATCGGTTTCTTTTGGCTAGAGGTTATATATATTTTTTAATTTTTTAAGAATTATTTATATATTTTTATACTGAAAAGTGAGAAAAAATCTCAACTTGTAATTAGCTTATATTTAGAAGTTTAAATAGAATAGTTTCGGTTAAAATGTTTAGATACTTATTTTTATAAATAAAGAGTTTAGTAGTCTTGAATTCTTTTGGTTTGTTTCCTTTTACTTAAAAAAATAAAATAAAATCATGATAATGATGTGGTATATTTTTTTTTGTCAATTTTGTTTATTTTCAACCGATATTTTAATATATATTTTTTGGTAAAGTATATTTTTAATAAGTTTATTGGTCAAAATCGAATCCGGATGATATGTAGAAGCTTGTATTTCTATGGACGTGTGGTATTTATGTTTACCGTAGGAAAAATATTCTAAGTTCTAACTTTTATTTGAATGCTTTAGTTTTATTAAAAATACAATTATTTTAGTCACGACTATTAGGAAGCCTATATAATATTTTTCTTATTTAAAAATTCATATATTATATAAAATATAAAAATATCAAATAAAATAATAAACTTTAGAGGAAAAGGAAAAAATAAATAAAATTCGAACTGATCTATTAATAAGTATATGATTCATGTGTTCAACACTTCATACTTCAGATATTATAGTACATAGTGAATGTGAGTCAATATAATTTGTTTGTCGTGTTCTTACGAGACATTTAAGTATCAACATAAATTTTGTTTCATGCCCACATATAGGAGTGGACATATTATCCGAAAAACTGAACTAATCCATATCCGAATTAAAAAGTTGGATACCGAAATCTATAAATCGGATACATATATGGCTTATAAAATATTTGTCGGATACAGATCGGATACGAATATCAAAACTAAATTATTCGATATATCCAATCCGATTCGTAAATAGTTATGATTGTGGGGTCATTTTGAATAAAAATAAATAAAAACAGTAGATTAGGTTTTTTTTTTCTCCAAAGACGCCGTTTGTGTTTGTGGAAGTTATCATTTTCTTTACCTCATCCGCCTTTCTCAACTTATCTATTCATCTTTCTCTTTGAAATTAATTCATCAATTTGTTTTTTTATTCTTCATCTTGCATTTGAGAAATTCTTTACTGGAATTTCATTTTGATTCTCTGGTAAGTACATTTTGTGTTGACAGTCACATTCTCTCTTTCGTTTTCTTCGATTTGTTTACTTTATTGATTGATTACTGTCTTTCTTGACAGATTTTTCGCCAAAGATCCGGACAATCAATGGTCTAAGTTACAGACTCATCGTCTTCTAAGTTTTTGGAGATTAGCTTCTTTCAAATCATTTTGATAAAGGAAATCGATTTCTTTTTTCGTTCTTCTTCTTTATGGAAAACTAATAGAACGAGTGATTCTCCATGCCTGTCAATTTCTTTCTCGTATTGATCATGGCCTAGAACAAATTGCTACTTCTCTTTGTCTCTTTTCCTTTTTTCCAACACACAAAAAAAAATTCTAAACTTTGATTCATACTATCATAACTTACAGTGGAACTCATTTGTTCTTTTGAATATGTTGGTATGTGCTGAATTATGTACGTATTTGTTATTGACTTGGTTTAAGATGATTATGTTATATATTTTATTTGTGTTTTTTGAGATTTTTTAGTATTTTTATTTTTCATTTTTGTTATTTTTATGATATATACGGATATTTACGAATTTCACTAGTTTTTGCGAATATTTAAAATAACGGATATCCGAAAACTCTGGATCAGATACGAATAATAAAACTTAATATTAGATATGGATATAGATACCTAAAAAATTGCGGATATTCGATGCGTGTCCATCCTTACCCACCTAATCTAGGGATAGGTACGGGTCGGATACCTAAGAAAATCGGGTTATTTGGATTTGGATCTGGAAGGTTCAGTTATTTAATTATAAGATTTGTATCCGGTATTTGGGATTTACGAGTATTCAGATACGAGTATCCGAAATAATAATCGGGTACTCGCGGGTATCTAGATCTAGATTTATTTAAAAATAATAATATTTATATATAAAATTTCAAAAAATGAAGGAATTACTATAAAAATATTAGATAATAAAAGATAAATAATAATAAATTTAATTTTTTTGAGATAATATTAAAAACTATGAAATTATTTAACTTAAAACAATTATTTTTTATAAATATATTATATAAATATAAAATATAATTATTTATAATTATATATCCGTGGGAATTCGATTTTAAAAATTTTATTTCTGAATTTGGATCCAGATTGGATATTAAAAAATCTGGATTTAAATTTGGATTTGAAAAGTACGAGTAAACTCAAAATCGAAAATCTAGTAAACTAATATCCGACGCATATCCGTTTTTCGATTATTTATGCCCACCCTTACCTAAACCTCCTATTTATTATTATTTTTTTCTCACAAATAAACATCTTTATTTATTTATTTATATTGGATGATTAATAATAAATTTACTATGTATAAATGTAAAAGACATCAGTGTCAGCGCATCGTTTCCGATCTATAAGAAGGTGAGGGATTCCTGCCTCGTCTCACCTTTTTTCGAAATCTCCATTCAAAGTTGTTTGAATCCCGATCGTCAAAAGTCTGATTTTTTTGGGTCAAAAAGTTCCTGCATTGTCACTTCGAAATCGAAATCGAGATCCATAACCAGAGGAGGGAGAAGAAGAAGAAAAAATTTCCTCCGGTTTCTGAATCTCCAGCGATCAGAAGAAAAAAAATGAGGAACTTGGGGGCGATCCTGAGGCACCCAGATGAATTTTACCCGCTTCTGAAGTTGAAAATGGCGGCGAAAAAGGCGGAGAAGCAGATCCCACCAGAGCCCCATTGGGGTTTCTGCTACTCCATGCTCCACAAGGTTTCGAGAAGCTTCGCTCTCGTCATCCAGCAACTGGGTACCGAGCTCCGAAACGCCGTACGTATCCGTCCGTACATATGTGCGCGTGTGTATCGGTGTCCCTGTAGGTGTGATTGACGTGTTTGATTGTGGAGGTTAATGGGTTCGTGGAAGAATCCGAATGTCTGGATGTTATAATCCCTGTGGGTATGGGCGATATTTGGTTTCTTCCCTAAGTTTCCTTTTTGTTGCAGAGGTTAACCAACCAGCTTTGGTGTTTATTGGGATCCGTGTAAGATATAAAGTTGTTGTTTTCCGGTGAAAATTTGACGGAAATCTGTTTATATTGTTTGAAATTGATTCTTGATTTCATTTTTGCCATGTTTTGTTTGGATCAGATTTCATCTTTCTACATCGGCTTCCAAGCTCAGTTCTTTAGATATGAATGATATAAGCTTCTTGTAGTAATTTTACTAGGATCAGTGTAATGCAAACGCATTCCTTGTGCCATAGTTATATGCCATCCTCTACACGTGTTTCTTGCAGTACTTTTTTTTTTCTATAGGATTTGATGTCGTTTAATTTTTGTTCTTTTGTAGGTATGTGTGTTCTACCTTGTTCTCCGTGCCCTCGATACCGTTGGTTAGTGTCTGCTTACTATGCTTCTAACATAATCGAATATTTGATGGAGCTTTTGCATTTGCCATTTCCAAAATCTGCAGAAGTGGAGCGTGTTGATCTTCCCCTTTTAAAATGTTTTCTGTGTCGTGTAAATCTTCCTTCTTGATCACCCGGCATCCTTGAAGAAACTCATTGATGTGTTTCTCGGGTTGTCATGCCCTGTTGCTAATATGCACTGTTTCTATTCTACAGAGGATGATACGAGCATACCGACTGATGTCAAGGTTCCCATACTGATAGCTTTCCACCGTCACATATACGATCGTGACTGGCACTTTTCATGCAAGTCTCATGAATCTCCTGGCTTCTTTTTATTGCATATGGGGTCATTATTTGAGTTTTTGGTATGCTTACTTTATCTTCATTCCCCATTTAGGTGGCACAAAGGACTACAAGGTTCTAATGGATCAATTCCACCATCTTTCAGCAGCCTTTTTAGAACTTGAAAAAGGGTTAGTTCTTATATATGCTCTATGCAATTCCGCTCCTTTTTTATGTTGCTTGTGACTTGTGTACGTTTGGTTGATTTTTCACTTTTCTTATGTATGGAATTTGTCCAAGCTTTATTCAGCTTAAAGATTGTACTAATTTCCATTCTTTCCCCTAACTTAAATCCTTTGTATGTAAAGGTATCAAAATGCTATTGAGGATATTACTCGAAGAATGGGTGCAGGAATGGCCAAGTTCATTTGTAAGGAGGTTTGTGATGCACAACATTTTCCATAGTTTGATTTTATTATTGATTCATTTTCCACAGTATGGTCTCCGTTTCTGTCTAAAAAATTTCACGCTTATTATTTCTACGACAGTCGACTTTATTTCTGTACGGTACATGGATATTTCATGGCTGGATGATGTATTCGTATCCGCAAATTGAACGCAGCCCGAGTTTAAATGGATCTCGTGAAATTATTCATCCATTCAGTTTGGATATTTAGGTGTTTAGCTAGTATTCATAGTTATCGACATGGTTACATACGTGTAAATATGGAAATATTTTGGCACTGACCATTTTTTTTTCTGGTACATGACAGGTAGAAACAATTGATGATTACGATGAATACTGCCACTACGTTGCTGGACTGGTCGGTTTAGGTTTGTCAAAGCTTTTCCTTGCCTCGGATTTGGAAGTTCTGACTCCAGATTGGGAGCAACTATCCAATTCAATGGGTTTATTTCTACAGGTGCAACACCAATGTATTACGAAGTTTGTTTGCAACATTTGGAAATTTGTTTTATGAAATGACTAATACAGGTCCAAACTTGCAGAAAACAAATATTATTAGAGATTATCTCGAGGACATTAACGAGATACCAAAATCACGGATGTTTTGGCCTCGCCAGATATGGAGCAAATATGTTGACAAGCTTGAGGTGCATACATATATGATATCTCATGTTAAACTCAAGGAGCAAGATTTATGATAAGACTTTGAATAAAAATTTCATGATGTAGGACTTGAAATATGAGGAAAACTCGAACAAAGCAGTGCAATGTTTGAATGATATGGTCACTAATGCATTGACACACATTGAAGATTGCTTGAAGTATATGGCTTCGTTGCGAGATCCTGCCATATTTCGATTCTGTGCCATCCCTCAGGTTATTTAAATAAACTATTACATGTTCTCACATCAAATGTCTTTGAAGCTAACGCTAAATTGTCTGAATTTGTTTCTGTGATTAGATCATGGCGATCGGGACACTTGCATTATGCTATGACAACATAGAAGTTTTTAGAGGCGTAGTGAAGATGAGGCGTGGTAAGATTCTTGTCTTGAGTTAGTGTTCTCTCAAGACAATATTTAACAACTTTTCAATTACTTAATTCGATATTTTGGTATGAAAATTGTCAAATCAGAAATAAAAAGTAATATTTTTGTGAAGAGTATGTTTTCATGACGAGGAAAAATCTCGATTTTTTTTCATTCTAAAACTGGCTTGAGAGTAAACCAAGCAAGCAATGTAATCTTAAAGCTAATTTCCGGAATATCCCGTATTTGTTCATGTGTATAGGTCTGACGGCTAAAGTCATGGATCGGACGAACACAATGACTGATGTCTATGGTGCGTTCTACGATTTTTCTCCCATGCTGAAAACAAAGGTAAGCCGGGCAGAATTTCATTTTTCTTGTTTTGATGTCTCCTGACAAAAGCTATGTACTATTATATGCATATCATGCATTTGTATGTATTTAGGTTGACAAGAACGATCCGAATGCCTCAAAGACCCTAAGCCGGATTGAAGCTGTCCAGAAAATCTGTATAGACTCTGGAGCTCACAAGAGGTACAGTCTCTTGTTCGTTTCTGTAATAACTATCTCTGTTCACTCACGGAATTCGCCAGAACTTTGCTCGGTTTTAATCCCTTAAGGTCATCTTGAATTTGCCAGAGTTTTGGGTTTTGTTTTATGTTTGGGTATTTTGGGATTTTGTTCTTGTTGGGTTATTTTTTGTATTCGGTTTGGAAAATTAGGAAATATTTCCGCGGGTCTAGACTCCGTCCATTATGGATTTATATGTTTTGAATACATCATTACTTTCGTAGCTATCTTTACATCGGTTCTCCTTGTAAAACTATAACCTTTCATTATGAAATATGAATAAAAAGCATCATAGTTATATATCAAATCTTCCTAGGATTCAGAAATAGGAAGCAATCATTGCAACATTTTAGTTTTGGTTGTGATGAATCTTTGCTTCTTCTGTCCAGAAAATCTTTCATCACCGATGAATCACGATTCAACCCTCTCACTGTAAGTTAGCATAGCATCTATCACTATCTATCACCATTGAAGGTATCTCAGTTTTTGTTTTTGTTTTTTTCCTTAACCGATCTTTCTCTCTAACCTGAAATGCAGATCGTAATGCTCATCGTTATACTGGCCATTGTCTTGGCATATCTCAATCCAAACCAACAGAAGGAGTAACCGATGTAAAAGCCCTCGACTAGGTCACATAAATCATCACGAATATACGATTTCTGCATCTAGCGGAAAATGCTTGTTCATATTTTTTTTATGTAATGTATCGTCGCTCTTTCTCCTCCTCTTGTGACAGAACTTTTTCAGTTTTCATGGGAATTGAATCTATTCGAAGATCATGGATGGATGACCGGAGGCAACTAAGTATGCTTGCCTGAATCCGAAGATACCATGAACCAAGTTGTTTTTTTGTGTTCCTCATGTTTTTTTTTCAGAGTTTTGTGAGGGTAAAAGTTCAGATTAAGGTACTTATTTTCTTCCCCTTTTTGTTATGTACTTTGAAGTGATACAATCTTTAACAAGCTCGTGATTTTCTATTGGTATTGTCCATTCAACGCAAATATATGAACTCTGGATTCGGTCATATCAGAATCGGATTTCGAAACCAGAAATCGCCAGTCCTGATCCTCGTGATCGTTAACATCGGCATCCGAACGACTCCAGGCGACACAAACCCGAATTGGGAACTGGTATTCTTGCCTTTCACTTCAGTCTTCATCTTTTCTCAACCCAGAAACACAAGGTGACTGCCCTTCCACAAATTCACCCATAAACCTCCGAACACTTCGGCTGGTTCTCGTCTTTCAATACATTCGTAAGGGAACCACCATCCAGTTTTGCCTTTGCACTCCGCTACTTGTCACCTGACAATATCACCGGGAACCGCAAACAATGAAGAAAGGCATTCTCTTCCGAGATGATACCCAATTGATGTTTAGATTAAGGAAGAGATAACCATCGCATGCGGGTTTTCTGGCCTTTATTATTAGAGATGTTTTAGATTTAATTATTGGCTAAAGAAATTATTAACTCATAATGTGTATAGTAAGACATACATTACACAACCTACTGATTCAGAAGAAACATCCCCAAAAAGACTGATTGCTATATACATCAAAATGTCCTAAAACCTCTCCCAAAAAAAAAAAACTTAAAGGACTGACTTAGTTATGGATGTAATCGCAGGATGCTCCTTTCCTACAGTAACCATTTTCTCTGAAGAACTTGCATATTCTCTGTCCATTCAAGTTTCTGTTCCAACCATAACCAGCAGTACTATCTCCTCCTCCGTTCTGGTTCTGTTTGTTTCCCCACATTGCTGCAGCACCACCTGGTGTTGGGCCATGGCTGATCGAACCCCAGTTCGGATTTCCGTTGCCTGTTTTCGGTCCGTTACCCGAGCCAGTATTCACTGGAGCTTGAGCTTGACCTGTCATACCCCACCCGGGATTAGGATACACCTGCGGTTGCCCTCCCCAACTGTAAGATCCCCAATTCGGGTTTGCTCCGGCTTGCGGGGTCCCCATCCATCCCATGTTCGGATTTACAGGCATCTGTCCCCAACCACTGCTTTGAATCGCCGGAGCCTGCGTTTGTGGAGCGTTTTGGTCGTTGCTATTCATTGCATTCATGCCCCAAGGTAGGTTCAGTGGCACAGGTGCCTGAGTGTTTGGTTGAATCGGAACTGGAACCCTCCATGAATCAGATGGAGGAATACCGGATTGAAACTGTGCAGGGAAGAGACCTGGAGTTCCTGCATTGAAAGATGGGGAGGAACTCTGGGAAGAAGATGGAGCATTGCCCCGGTAACCATGAGATGGAATCTGAGTAGAACCACTGGAATCCAGTTTCTCGGCCTGCATGGTTCCCCGGCCCTGATTTAGGCCACCCGGTGTCGGAGATGGAAGAGCCATAGCAGGACCAAGATGAGTCATTGGGACATCAGGCCTGGCGGAAACTGGATTTGTGGCAGATGGTGGAATAGAAGAGTTTGCTAACTGAACAGTCGACTGGACAGGCGCCTGAGCAGGAGTCGGGGACCATCTGCTCTCATAACTCCGTCTCCTTGCTGCGGTTGGAGACATGGTTTGATTTGGAGTAGGGGACGGAAGGTTTGTGCCTGAACCTGACCTCGGACCCCAAGTATTATCCTGAGACTTCGGAATTTCAAGGGTTGATGGAGAAGTCCTGCCACTGGAACCAAATTCAGGGTCAGATTTCATTCCTCCAACAGACAGGCT